TGGGGGGCAAGTTTCTACCCCCCACCATACAAACATCTGGCAAGTCAGCACCTCATTGATTTTTTTTTCCTTTACCTTTTAGCTTCCAATGATTCTGTTACTAGGATTCTCCATGTTTGTGATCAGTGTTTTAATTCCATCAAGTGAGTACTAGTTAAGTGATGACATTATTACTAATATACATATATATTGAAGGGTTGAGAGTCAGGTTGATCATTGACCTTACAGGCATTTTGAGCAAGTTTTAAGAAAGTTCCAATTAAGCCAGAGGTTTCAGTCTGAAACAAGCACAAATTCATAGTAAATCTGTACATTCAGAGATCATTATAATTAGTAATCAAGGGCAACAAATTCATGACTTTTCCAAGGCAGTACAGGTTTCAAATGCCCCATAGTATTCCACACTGTAAAAGCATCTCTATACAAATTTAACTATCCACAATGTGAGAGAGGGTCAAAAAGCCCAGTATAATTTTACTGCCTACCCATTACAAAAAGTATGTTCAACCCTTTACCCTGGTAGTTCATCAAATATGTTGGATAGCACTATCCACTTGTTACATCTCTATCCAGAGGGCCAGTTCTCCCCCCCTCCTCCCTATACAAAGTTCAAACTCGTAAAAAATTCTGGATACACGTGTCCAACATTGTTTGTGGGGTGAGGGGAGGGGTTGGGCATGCATGAATTTGAAAATGCCCAAGAAATGCAAAAGTGTCCGAAGAGTTTTTTTCCATGATTGTAGACTGCAAGAACAGATGATTCAAGTTTTTTTGCAAACATTGAAGACCCAGTCAAACAGCTAGTTGGGTCTAGTGGCAGGCCATCGCAAGGAAAAAGCATACCGTAAATCCATAAAGTGAGACAAGTCCCAACCAGGGAATTCCCAACCAAGTTCCCTGGTTGGGACTTGTCTCACTCTTCCAAATTTGGGATTTTTGTGGGTATTCTTTAAATACCCTAAAATATCCAAAAATGGGAATCTGTGATAATTTTACTGCCTACCCATTAAAAAAAGTATGTTCAACCCCTTACCCTGGTATTTCATCATATATGTTGGATAGCACTATCCACTTGTTACATCTCTATCCAGAGGATACATTGTTAGGGAATCTGCATAATTGCATTATCCACTGGATAGAAATTTATTCAGTGAATGACCTTATCCACCATTTGAACAAATGAGGGCCAGTTCTCCCTCCCTCCACCCTATATAAAGTTCAAACTCATAAAAAAATTCTGGATACACGTGTCCAACATTGTTTATGGGGTGAGGGGAGGGGTTTGGCATGCATGAATTTGAAAATGCCCAAGAAATGCAAAAGTGTCCGAAGAGTTTTTTCCATGATTGTAGACTGCAAGAACAGATGATTCAAGTTTTTTTGCAAACATTGAAGACCCAGTCAAACAGCTAGTTGGGTCTAGTGGCAGGCCATCGCAAGGAAAAAGCATACCGTAAATCCAGATGAGACAAGTGCCTCTTCTTGCCTAATGCATGCAAGCCCATAGTGAACATGTAGATGCAAATAATAATGGTTTGTATTTTTGACCAAATGACTGCAGCAATCAATTCCAAATCTCTAATGAATCTTTATTCCTTTTGTTTGCAGCTGATTATGGTGTGCAGTTTCTTTATGTATTGTTCTGGGGTGCAGCTGTCATGGTCACTCTCTATGTAGTATTGTACTTTGGTAATGAGTATGTCGACCAGCCAAGACTTGTACATGTCCAGGCAAAAGATAAAAATGTCTGACTAGAAAATCAATCCAAGTTCTATAGTTGGGTGTAAATGATAATATTGTTGGGATACCTGTGCAGTAAAGGACAATTATACTGGGTCGAGCCATCATGAAGCTCTCATCAGCATAATTTGAAAACATCCCTGTTATTTTCATCCCAGTGGCTATTCGTATGGGACCCGTACACTGACTTGTGTATGCTATTCATGCAGGATTCTTTTGAAAATATTGATTAGGTTTAAACTCTGAGAATAGTGATTAGGGTTAAGCACTGACTGGAATCGAAATGGTTGGGTTCATTTTGGGTTAGGGTCGTTGCTATGCAGTTGCAAATAAACCCTTCATCAGCAGCAAGCCCTCAGTGGTCTGGTGGTTTAGGTAGACTTCAGATCCTACGCCCAGAGTTCAAGTCCCACTCCTACTGTAATATATAATAACAAATTCTATTTTTTTTACTTTTAAAATTGAAGAGACTGGCTCTTTTATGAATATTTGTTGAGCAGAAATTTTAAGAGGCTTATTAAGACAATAGAATACATTACTGCTGACAACAGAAGGAAACCAACCAGTAAATACAGCCAAAAATTGACGTCTGTAGAAAGAATCCCGTATGCATAGCAAATACAAGTCAATTTAGGGGTACCGTATGAATAGCCACTGGGTATTATAATTGTTTCATTCATCTATTGTTTAGACAATTGTTGTGAGAGCTTCATGGCTCTCCAAATTATAAATAATGTTATTTTACATTAATTTTGGTTGAGAATGCATTCAGCTCACCCAAAATCCTTAAATCCTTTTTTTATGCAAAACATGGGTAATGTAAACAAAAATAAATAATTATAATGAATATAAATAGCCTTGGCCAGCAAACTTTAGTGTCGTCATTTGAGGAGGATGTGGACCGTTGCATAACAACAAAAAACGGCAGCAAGGGAGACTGGATTGGTTGTGCCTGCCAAATACAATACATGATCAGTATAACGACCAAATATCAAAAATTAAATTGTTGGCGGAAACATGATATGTATGTTCTTCATATTAATTTTAACATTTTATTCATAAAGTCAGTGTAGAATTTTACATATTAATTTAGTGACATACAATGAGTCAGAGCATTACAGCACTCAGATAATTCTAGGAACCTTTAAAGGGGTTGTCACAAGGATATTGTTATATGTACAGTTCTGTTCAATCTTCCATCTGTTCATGTAATAATTCAGTTATTCTATCATTTGCTATTGAAAAGAATTGTCCACTGATATTGTGGATCAGATTGAATTTTTACTGTCTTCTTGCCCAGTGAATATTTATTAACTTATTTTATATTTTTTGATTACCATAGTTCATTGTGAGAGCTTGAGCTCTTTATGTTGTTCAGGCAGGAATGTCCAGAATTTAAGACTTTTGAGATGTAATCAAGGTTCATACCGAGTCTGGAAAAATGATAAAAATTAGTCTTGAGTTTTTTTCAAAGCTACAACAAGTGCTTTTACTAGTGAAATTTTTTCATTTTGGTCAAATGTTATTCAATCTCGTCCATACATTTGCAGCACATCATGAAAAAAGCTCTGTTCCTGTGATTTTTAAGGTCTCTTTTGATCACCTGTTTGATAACCTCGAGTCTGGAAAAATAAATTCATGTTTTGGAAAAAAGTCTGGAAAAAGTCTTGAATTTTGGATCCAAAAACCCTGTGTAATGTACAATCCTTATAATAAGTCACCAGAAAGTGTTACGATCACAAAATAATTAATAATAGTTAACAAAAATACAAAAAATAGCTCTCTTTAAAAACATGAATACAAAAAATAAAATGGCAAAAAAACACTCAGTCAAATATGAAGTACTTACGACACTTCATCCATTTAATCCTGGTGACAAGTGTGTTTCGTAACTTTTTCAGGCCCCAAAAGCTGTTTTTTCTTTTTTAACTAAGATCAGGGTTTCAATAATGGTGAATAGTTTTGCAGATAATATTATGGATCCATGCTTTTACATTGTAGTCTTTAGATTTTAATTTCAATATTTGGCTTAAATTTGGGTCTCTCAGAAAACGGGCATCAGGGTACAAGTGTCTTCAGTAGAATTCTATAGCAGTGCACTACTGAATCATTATTTATGTTTGATGAAAGAGAAGAAATAAATAAAATAATGAAAAACAAAAGATAAATGTGGACTAACATTGTTCACTATATTTTGTATCCAACGGTCTGTTCCATTTACACCACATATTCATTGTTTACGAATTCAGAAAAATTGAAGAACAGCTCATCAAAAAATCTGTCAGTGGACTGTTGGTGGACAGTCAGCTGACAAGCAGCCAACAGTCAGCTGACAGTCAGCCGACAAACGGCCAACAGTTGTCCTGTTGTAACTTGACTGTACTGCTGCATAGTCAAGAACATAGGTTAAGGTATTTCTTCCTCATGGAAAAGGGTACTGCTACACATGTATAGCCTATATACAGATATGCCAGGCACTAGCTTTTTAGTGCAAGTGAAGATTATTGCCAGATATGAACTTCTATCCAAATATCACCAAAATTCAGTAAGAAGAGCACACTGCCAAAGTCTTCAGTGGCAGTGTCAGCTATGGACAGCTGAGTATCTGTCAGTAGTGTGTTAATATATGTAGTTGAAGGACATCCTCTTTTTGCCATCTCATGTGTAGGGACCATGTTATCAGCTGTTGCACTGGAGAGCTCTCATCACTATAAACTTGTCCAGAAAGAGCAATTCTTCCAGGGGCGTAACCAGCCCATAGACCTGTAGGCCCAGGCCTACAAATTTTTGGTTTGATCACTCTACCACTTGTTATAAATTATGCATTGTTGGGGTGAGCTAAAAAGCTTAAGAGCTCAAAGTGTTGGTGGGGTCAGTGCGTACTAGTCATGCATGCAATTTTCAGGATATGTGGAAATGAAAGTCAGCCGGGCCTACAACACCACTGTCTTCTATCTTGAATGGTAAAGGACAGCTTTCTAAACTACCATTAAGCTCGCTATTTTTAACCTGGTCCTTCCAAGGTATGTTTTTCACCATTCACAGCATTCTTGTAGAAGTTCCATTCAGACCCTTTTCTTCGGCTTTTGTCAAGGACCAAGTGATACTCATATAAAGGAAAGTTATCTCCATAGTTCATCTGAATAACTTCAGTTTGATCTTTTCTGCCAAATCACTCTTCCAGATGTTCTTCATTTTGTTCAGTGATCGTCAGGCCCGGTTATTTTGTTACAAATAGTTATGGTCAGTCCTGGGACTCATCATGAACAATTAACTATGGACAATTTTATTGTCATATGTATATTTATAAACATGTATTTTTTACTACCCTACCATTTTAAAGGTATATAAAAAAAGAAACAAATTCCCCGCATCATAGCAATAAAATGGCCATTGGTTTCAGTCTTGTTAACTTCAGATTTCAACTTCTGAAAGTCAATCTTGTTTTCTTTCTATAGAAGTATTACAAAGTGACCAGAAGAGGTTTGTTGCTGTTGTTGTTGTTTTTTCTTACATAAAAGAAACTTAATTAAGTGGCAACTTAACTTCACCGCTGGGGATTGATGTTTCCTAACAGTTACAAAGCTACCTAAAAGAATTTGTTTTTAGTTAACAGTAATAACATGCAAACTTTGTTTAGTCAAGACAAAAACTTTTCCATTTGAGGCTTGAAGCCCCAAGATTTCATTATCAGAAGTTGTCAGTGTCACTACATGTTGGCTGGCATGCTTAGCTCCTTGTTCAGGTTGTCGGTAAATGTAAACGTGCCTGGTACAATCACACAGTGTCGCAAAGGACATATCTGGAGCACAAGTAGAGAACTTTCTATCACGTTTAGCTGCCTGTACGTAACCAAGCGCATTAAATGTTCCAGTGTGCACCCAGTTGTCCTCATTGCTGGAGTGAGACTTGGGTTGCCAGAGAAGAGCATCAACATCATGGCGTATACAGAAAGCTGGAGGAAGGTTTGGGTCTAGTGAGGCATTGAATATCCACTGGTGAATTGCTAGGCAAACCTAATGTGAAATAAAGTTTGAAATATTAGAGATGCAAACCTTTAATACCTTTGAAGCGGGCAACATTTCAATAAACATTACATTGCTATCCATGATAGTAATAAAATAATAATAATAACAACAATAATAATTGCGGGTGACTCAGGGAGCCCGCAATCCTAATCTCCAGGTTGTTATTACACGTGTCGCATGTATGTAGCCAGCATTCATTTGGATTTCCACTAAGAATGAATGGAATGCACAGAATGCAATTTGATCAACGCTTTTAGACTATCTGTCACGTGAAACTTCTGCAACGCACAACGATGGAGCAAAAGCATTTTGACTTTCAATCGTTGTCACCCGCGTTCCATAACATTTGGTTTTTTCTAGTATAATGATTGGAAGAAGTTCAAAGATATCTGGAATTGTAGAGATAAATTAGGCAAATGTGGCATGTGAAAAACGTGGAAGTGGTACCTGTTGTTGTAGGGGTCCTTGGAAGTGTTACGAAGAAACTTGGGCGATGGATAAAAAAACTGGGGATCAGGGTTAGGATTGGACTGCTACAGAAAACTACGCTATTAGGAACGACCAGGATGCTGAGGAGGGTGCTTGACTTCAAAGTATCAGGAGAGTTAGCCTGTTCCAGGCTCCGAGATAGTCGGGCCCACTGAATTGAGAAAGTGCAAATATGAAAATAAAACGAAAGGAAACTGGGGAGAGCAGGGGCGGCTCTTTCCCTTCCTTTTCCTCTTTTTCGCCCCGCCAACTTTTCAAATGCCTTTTACTTTCGTGTCTTCCCCACTACCTAAGAGCCTGGAACAGGCTATAGGAGAGTGTCCCCAAGGGACCCCTGGTCATTGACTATGACTCGCTCTCTTGGGATGTAGGTTAGAAGGAGAACAGCCAGAGCTCAGAACTAAATAGACAATGATAATAATAATAATAATAATAATAATAATAATAATAATAATATCAGAGATTAAAGTTTATTGACTTACCTTATGAGTTACTTCTCCAGTCTTAACGTCCAGTCTGAATATGTACTCGACATCCTCTGGAAATGCATCACATTCTTCTAACTGTTGATCTGTAAAAGACATCTTGTTCTCTCGTGAATCCTCCACCTGAAGATTGATCAAGCAAAAAAATTGATCTTTTAGTATGTCTCAAATCATCCATTTAGGGTAATTATAATTATACACATATTAGTTTAGTTCATCAAGAGGGTCACCAAGGTTTGCGAAATCCTTACCTTTGGTGTTAATTAGGCCAATACTGAACAAAATACAACCTTTCAATAACTTGAAAATTTACAAAGAAATATATGCCTGACAATTGTTCCGACATCAAATAATCAGGGGTACCCAGTGACAGTCAACCTCGTTCCCAGGCTTCTCGACTACCCGCCCTACAGAGCGAGAGAGAGAGAGACCCTGGAAAATGCTGGTCACGAGGCTCCGGAACAAAATCAATTCTGAGGTAGGAGTCCTTTGTCTCACATTGTTTTTGTTTGGTTTATTCGCAACGTTCACGCAGTGACCGCAACAGCAAGATAGATTTGCTAACCCTACTACAACTATAACTGAAACTAAGGGAAATTTCTGCCTAAACAGAACTATCAGATAAACATGTGAATTACCAGAGAAGGAATCAAAAACTAGCGTTGTCGCCGGTTTAACCAAGAAAACCAATCCCTAAAAATCTATGATCTTGAGTTATACACAAGCGAGTTAATTTTTTGAAGGTAAAATCCCCGTATGCTGAACTTCTATATTAATATTTTCAATGTTTGTCTGACAGCGGCTTGTAATCGGGCCAAATAAACCTACACCATTTGCAGTCTTAGTGGTTTGGTGTGACAAACCCCTGGGACAAAACATGGCAGTTACATTGAGAGCAAGGAATTCAGTTAATACATTTACGATCAAAGTAATATTTTAGATCTAGTGACTTCACGGAAAGCTATAGCCTAAAATGTGAGCTTTTTCCTCCCCCAAACCTTTGTCATGATGCGGCAATAGAAAAGTGGTAAATAGATCAAAGATAAAGATAATTATATACCAACGTGACATGGAAGACAACAGGAACTAGTATAAACAGAGACAAAACAGACAACATAACCTGCGTAATAGTAGTCTTGAAAACACGTACAGCTACTGTACATTTGTTTTCTAAAGTGGCCTCCACAACATATAGATACGGCAATTCAAATCTAGTGCGTTTCGGTATGAATGTTACTACCAGGCAGACCAGGATACCTGAATTATTTTTGACTGCACAAACGGTGAATCCTCCGCGATTTCTGTTGCATGTGCCAAATGAAAGCGTCGCTGATAAACATGTGACTAACATCCAGATACTCTGCAGAAAGTTACGCTTTCGCTGTCAAAGGATTTTGTGCATTATTTTGGGCGTTCAAGATCAGGTCAGGTACACAGTTTCATGGCTGCACTGACCTGTCTACGCTCTGTGGAGACAAATCTCACACTTGCCTGCCCCTCCCCCAAATCTTTTGTTTGTAATCTCCCAGATTCTGGCTGACACGTGACCAGCATTTTCCAGGGTCTCTCTCTCTCGCTCCGTAGGGCGGGTAGGAGAGAACCCTGGGAACGAGGTTGAATGACGGTTTCCTCCTAACGCATCAAAAACACTTTTTAGGCTATCCAGAGTACTTTTAGATCTCTAGAAATGCATTCTAAGTGGCTATATAAAATTTGTACCTGTTCGGTCATCCTAGGGGAACTTGACTCTCTTCGAATACTACAAGGGCTTCAGTATTGTTTTCCCAAAAATTTTGGATGCAATTTAATGTATTACAAAAGTGAGAATTTTTCTCACTCCTCTCTCCATCCCATTTTTTAATCCAAAAATACTATGTTTCATTTTTTGAACAAAATACAGCCTAACCTGGGCAGTCATATGTCAGAAAAATTGAACTTCAGAAAATCATAGGGAATTTATAAGATAAACTTCGAAAATTGTTCATGAATTGAACGGTCATCTAGAAATTATTAGTTGTCCTCAAGTAAAAGAAAATTCTAGGCAGTATTTGCTTCTCCGAACATATATTTACAAAAACAGTCATTGGGTGCCCCTGATATAATTATTGGCAAATCTTCATTATTGAACCCAATTATCATCAATGTTGAGTATTTTGTAAACCTTGATGTCACTAGCTCTTTCTGCTATTTGGGTCTTGTGTTGGTAATCCCAGCCACTCTCGGTTTGAAATCAGCCAATACTATTAGTTACCAGTTTATCAGATGTAAGGTGCTCCAGCCGGCTGTGAATCTCTTTCACCCTCTCTGCTTCTTCTCCAATCAGCACATACTCTCCTCTGTCATCACCCTTAACAACACTGCTCCAGTGATGCTCCTCAGCTTGTTTCACAAGGACTACCTCCAAACTAACAACAGCACAAAAGAGGTTGTGATTAAAATCCCTCAAAATCCAAAGGGTCAGCAAAAAATAAACAGTCTACACTGTATAGGCTACTAATGATCAGGGGACTCAAGAAACCAATGGTTTCAAAACTGAAAAGAATGCTACTGCAAGACACATCTTTTTGAAAAGCAACGTCAAACTTACCTCAAACACCAAAGGTAATACACCAACTGAAAAGTTGTTACACACAAACACACTTTCAAAGTGCAAAGCTCATACAGAAAAAAGACTAAGAAATAATATCAAAAGCCCCAAGTACCTGTTCTTGTCCAAAGTCCATGTGCTTTCCTCGGATTTCACCTTTGCAAATAGCATACCACTTAACAAGATATCTTCACCTATCCGAATACTCATGGAATCAGTCTTTATTTCACAGACTATTGATTCTTTTGTAGTCCCATCAGCGACTTCAAATTTCAGGGTTACGTCTTCATTATCCTGCGACCACTTGTATGCCTGGATCCTTGAATTGTTTTGCTGATTATTTGCTTTCTCCTCAGCATCTTGAGCTGGAGGCAGTTCTTCATAAGCTGAAAGATTTTGAAAGATGATGCATTTTCCTTTACTTGAATTTCCAAGAGTGTTGTTTACTAGAAGGTCCAAAAATTTTCACAAATTCTTATTTGTGAACTAATTAAGTCCATAAAGTAAACGTTGTCAAGGAGTACACCTTAGTCGATCCCTTGTGGAAATTCCAGATATTAACCCCCACCCTCAATGACTTCAGAATTCTAATCATAAGTATCTCCATGCTTTCAAATTTCCAGTTTAAGGTACACCCGCTAGCCCTGGAAATTCTGAAAAGAAAGCTGTTACCAGTATGGTATGGAAATTTTTTAGAATCACCTAATCTGATTCACAGTAAGGCTACAGCAATAAGGCAAGTAGAATTTAGGTTGGGGCAAGGAAAAATTCAAAGTGACTAGCCCAGTGGGCAAGTTGTTTCAGAGTGTTTTTCTGCTCCGAACAATACAAAAGTCTAACAATACCTTTTACGAGAGAGAAAGACTTTTCACTAGCCACCAAGATGGCAGTACGACCAGGCTCAATAGCAGCATACATGGGTGCAGTGTAACCTGTGAAATGTTGTATCTCCTCACAGATGTAATTGATGGACCCTGATGACAAACACTTCACTTGAGATAATGTAATCAACTCCAAATGAACAACATGGGTATCTTTGACTGAGGTGGAAGTATCATTATCAGTGATACTCAATAACAAACAGCTTACAGATCCTGTTTCTTTACAATGAGTGGTGTGAAGGATAAGTGATGGACGATTGAATTGATACACCATTGCTACTTTCCAAGGCACATTCTGAGAGTCTTCCTTTGTTCTGCCATCTGTTTGAAGCAAGAACAGCTTCCCACACCCATCTGATAAGCAAGCTAGTGAGGGTGATGGAAAAAACAGTGTTGTGTTCAAGCTTCCTTTAAGTTTCTCCGTAGTAGGAATTTTGAATACTGTATCCACAGATGAAATGTCTTTGTCCTACACAAAATTTAGGATACAAGAGAATACCCTCTAGTGAATCAATATTATTACAATGTTATCAATCATTTCAGCCCAAGAGCAGCGATAACAGGGAACTGTATCCCTTGGGTATAGATAAATTCACACTCTTGCAGAGTGCAGGATGGGTAATTAGGAAAAGATGGTAGGGACTTCAAAGTTAAGTAACTCCTCATCAAATATTTTTCCACTTTCGAGCACAGGTTTCTCTCTTGCACAGCATTAAGCGTTTCTGGAATCGTTTGCATCGCTTCTCAGTCATGTTATTGGTTTGAAAAACGATGTATCACTGACTGGGTGATCTAAGGTCCTGTTTCTATAGAGGAAAGTTGTTACTGGTAGATGGGTCACCCGCCGCCTACCTGAGCTACCCTGAAAGAGCTGACTTTTCATACATTTCCTTACAAAACGAACGAGTTGGCTTGGCTAGAAGGGTGACCCACCTGGCCAGGTCATTCTTTTGTGACGGTAAGGTCAACCCCCTACCCTCCTTTTCACCTTTGGCTCGCCCAGCCAGGTTAACTCTGTGAAAGCCATCGAGGCAATTAGAGCATGCGTAACGGCTGTTTTAGACAATCATAGCATATGCTAGTGCTTGGGGAAAAGGGGTCAAATTTTTTCTCACATAAACGCTCACTGGAGTTGACTAGGCTGGGAGGGTGACCCTTCCCATCCACCAGGGACGATTTCCTCCATACAAACAAGGCCTTAAACAAACAAATTATAAGAACAACACGTGCACTGATTCAGGAGCACATCATATTTCACAAATGTACGGTATGAAACCTTCACTTTTAAGGGTATTGTTTTTTTCTAAACAATACCAAACAAAAACTCACTTTGACCGCGGCTCTTTGCACTTCATAATTTTCATTCACAAAATAAACAGCCTCGTTTTTCCCGCCATCAGTCCATGAATCAAACACCAAGTGATTCAAATTTCCAAAGGCTCGCATGTGCTGAAATGAAATCAAAAGTTCGTCTCCTAGAGGTAACTCAGTCACTGCAGACGGCAAGGCTGTAGAAGAGACATTCAAAGCGTCAACAGAAAGTTTGTAGCCTTCAAAACTGGGATTTAAAAGGGTTCGATCAGGGCGAAGCGACTCCATCTTTCTTCAATCCACTAGGTACCAGGATCATCACGAACCTCTCGGACGTGCCAGTTCCAGTCTTCCAGACGAAAACAAATGAGAGACAACATAAGAGTTTGGTAAACTACGTTGATCGAAGACGGTATTTCTGATATCTCGCAAAGAATTTCGTATCACAAGTCCCCACCAATAAATTGGGCAAAACAACTGCCTTAAGCCAGCTAGTGTCCGCCTCGACCTTGACTGATTAGATGTGGGTCAATTATCCTCAATGAGTAATAGATAGGAAGACTCTTTAAAGAGTCTTCCTGTCTATTATTAGAACTTTATTTTTAGCTGGTAGTTAAACACGGAAACCTGCCCGTTACAATAGCAAGACCAGTGACGGGACTGAAACCAAATCGGTTGGGAATTGGATGTATCTTGTCACAGGGGCACCCGATGGATCTGTTCCTCATATCAGTTCTGCACGCAAATTTTTGTTGGCTGGAACATTTGGGAAAAATGATATGTCCTTGGAAGGAAAGTGTTGCTGGGAAAGAGACAGTGCAGGGTGTCTAAGGGGATTTGTTGTCTAGAGTACCTGCTATGTGGTATTTATTCGCCCTATGACCAGACCCAAACTGGCCAGTAATGTCTGGACATACGTCTGCTGGGAAACTTCCCAGTAAGTCAGGTTGCAGGTTGTAGGTACTCCTTGCTGGCTAAGAACTCTTCCATCAGTCTTGCTGGGAGTGAGGAACAGATAAATCTTTCCAAGCAATCTCCCAAAATGCTTAAGATGACTTAAGAAAGCTTTATTATACTCATGCTTTATAGTTGTTTTTAGGTCTTTTTCTCAAAATTCTCAAAAACTGTAGCAGAAATCATTAAAGACAAACACTGGTAATGATGAGTAGTAAGGACTAACAATTAAAAACGAAAAGCGGATCCCGGTAGAGCAATGCAGTCAACTCAGTCGACTCTCTCTTAACGGACACCTCTGTAAAACGGACACCTAGAATTGGTCCCTGCCTTTCTTTACTCCCTTTATTTGACTCTCTATGGTCTCTATAAGACGGACATCTCTCTAAGACGTAACTTATGTTAGCGTCTGTGCCAAAGGTGTCGGCATATTATATATTCTTAGAGAGTCTTATTTGCTAAATAGGATGCGTCGCAAAAAAAGTAGTTTATTAGTTGGAGTCTCGTGGGGCTCTCCCACGGCCTTATGTGGCCTACTCTGGTATGTGCTAATGAACAGGGTATATCGTTCTCAGGGCCTTGAGGACTAGAGCTAAAATTGTTACTCACGGCTGGGCACCCAAGGGAAGTTTGGGTGAGGTATTATGATTCTGACATATTTCAATATGCAAACGTAATCAAGTAGTTTCGCAAACTAACCGTTCATGAAATGCGTTTTTCAGGAAAAAATTGTTGGTTCTACAAATTTCAAGAACGCTTATCGCCAACCTTCGCAACCACGTCCCCAAAAGCCCTGGGGACGAGGTTGCAACCTTCGTACTCCCTTTTAAAGGATTCCGGTCCAAACAGGACAAACAGACACCCTGTTCAAGGTGCTAAATAGTAAAGTCGTGTACTCATTTTTTAAAGACTCAAGGAGGTAGGTCTGAGGGTTAATAGGCCTTCGAAGAACTGGGAGCAGGGACGGGCAATATTTTTTGCAAAGATAACAGAAATTGTCAAATTCTGTTCCAAGTCATTTCAACTCCCTCAACTCGTTCTTTGTATCGATCTTCTTGGACCTCAAAATCTAGGAGTGTTTCAAAGGACGCGCCCTTTTACGATGCGATTATTTTGTAGAGGTTGTTCATTTTTACGAATTAAAATTTTTAAAACATGAACGAAAACGAAAATGATAATCACCAGGGTTAAGTTACATTACATTTTAGAGTGACATTTGAACAGGCCCTTGTGACAGTTCTACGCTTTTCGCAAATGCTAGCCTGCGGGCAGGCTCACGTACTTGTGCGAAATCGGCAGGAAAAATTTATTTCAAAAACTTTCAAGAATTGTTTACCAAAGTGTTTACAATAAACCGCTTATATCAAATTACATTCAAATATATCTTTTCCTTTCAAAAGAACGAGATCGCATAGTTATTATTCGCGGACCTTGATTGGCTTTTGGTCGTAGAGCTTTGTCTTTCGGACAAAGGTTGTCAGGTGTTGCGTTATGCCTATTCATCTCCACTAACCACCAATAAACAATCAACAAAATCCAACGCTTTCTATACATGACGTCACCTCCATTGACCGTAAAAGGAAATAAGCCTATTGTCTCCCTGAAATTATCGCATAAATTATTTCATGCGATAAAAACCGCGCCGTCTCTACGAACGACCATACCACAAACTCAAGACAAGAGGGAAAGTAGAAGTTATATCTGTTCCCTAAATAATTTGTCAAAATGCGCGAAATCGTACATCTTCAGGCCGGACAGTGCGGAAACCAGATCGGCGCCAAGGTATGGTGTACCTCGATCATAAATATGTGTGATTTTTGGTTCGAAACACTCATATTTCGCAATCTTCGTCTTTCAGTTCTGGGAAGTAATCTCCGACGAACATGGCATCGATCCAACTGGAACATACCACGGTGATTCCGACCTTCAGTTGGAAAGAATCAACGTGTACTACAATGAAGCTACAGGTATTGCTTCTTGCGCTTTAAAACACTTTATTTCGCGTGTTCTTGTTGCATTTCGTGCATTCTCTTCGATCTGAAAGTTGCTTCAAGCCACCATTACCGAAAGCTCATTGTTGTCGACTCGACAAATTTTTCAGGTGGAAAATATGTACCAAGAGCAGTTCTTGTCGATTTGGAACCCGGTACGATGGACTCCGTCCGATCCGGACCATTTGGACAGATCTTTAGGCCCGACAACTTCGTTTTCGGTAAGTACGACGTGTCAAAATTTTAAAATCAAAATTATTATGTTGAAACGTCCGGCAACACCCCAACTATCGCCCTGATGAGTTGACGCATGTGCCGCCTCTTTTCACTCTAGGTCAGAGTGGTGCTGGAAACAACTGGGCGAAAGGACATTACACTGAAGGAGCTGAATTGGTAGATTCTGTGCTTGATGTAGTTCGTAAAGAAGCAGAGAGCTGCGATTGCCTTCAAGGCTTTCAGCTAACGCACTCTCTTGGCGGTGGAACCGGCTCTGGTATGGGAACGCTTCTTATTTCGAAGATCAGAGAAGAATATCCCGACAGAATCATGAACACATTCAGCGTTGTACCGTCACCAAAAGTATCGGACACCGTTGTAGAGCCTTACAACGCTACACTGTCGGTCCATCAGTTGGTCGAAAACACTGATGAAACATACTGCATCGACAATGAAGCTCTGTACGATATCTGCTTTAGAACCCTGAAGCTCACTACACCAACTTATGGCGACTTGAACCATCTCGTGTCAGCTACGATGAGCGGTGTTACAACTTGTCTTCGTTTCCCTGGACAGGTAACTTTGATTTCGAGAATTTTAGGGGAGAACAAAAGATGATATTTGCAACAGTCATGAGGGACAAACGTGTTGGTGACTAACGGTTAAGAATAATGGCGCGCAAAATACGTTGTCAATCATCGGAGGCCTCTTGCGCGTGTATGATTGTAACTGTGGTATTTCATGATCAAGCTTAAAAAAATTGATTTCGGTGTTTTTGGAAAGTTTCTGCCTTCAATAGTGTGACTCAAGAAAATTATCTTTGCTTGGGGGGGAGGATATAAAAATATATTTGAATTTCCCTTGCCACAGAAAATGGGTTGTCGCTGGCAAAGCTTTGATTGATGAAGGAGAACCATCTAAATTAAGTGCCGTAGTTAATAATTATACACTTCTCCTCTAAGTGGAAGGCGATTTTCTATCAAACACCCTTGAAACTATTGCTAGGGAGAATTTGGGGTTTTTTTTTCCGATTCTGGCGACGCAAGAAAAAAATTAAAATACGTCAGCTCGCTTTTATCAATCCTTGAGTTAATTTTTTTTAATAGACAGTCTACGTTAGCACGAAAAGAAGGTGAATTTTTTTCGCGTTGTCGCCTTTCGTTGAGCTCGGAGGTATAGATTAGCAGTTGTGAGGCGTTAACCTTTATTGGGTGAAATGAATTGAAAGAGAAAGCAACACTTCATCTTATGGAGATTGCTTTCAATTATTAATACGTGTGACCAGCTAGCTTTAAATGTAAATTCGCGTCTTCCACAATGTTGATCGAAGATCGGAAGTAGACGATGCGTGAAATTTACATTTCGGCAACTTCAATACGAGGGAGCTTTGTTTAACTGAAAAACAGTTGGTTTTCTCGACAAGAATTTCTGAAAAGCATAATCTATTTTATCAAATCACTCGTAGAAGAAGGGCGGTTGCGAATTCTCAAACCCCCGCCGTGATCATAACGAATCAAAATTATGCAGTGAGCTGTAAACATTCCATTTGTTAACATGACAACGGATTTTTCTGCAGACACAATTAACACGTCCCAATTTTTTTGTTGCCACAATAATGAAAAATAGTTCTTGCTTGCAGTTCCTTACTTATCTTTGTTGTTTGAGAGTTATTAAAATTTTTTCCCATGTCGGTTTTCTCAGATTATCTTCGGTTTTTTTAAGCAACAAGCCCTTTAACTTGAAGAACAGTGGTATTAAATCAGCAGGATGGATAGAAAGATAAACTAATTTTCTATTTTCATTACTGTTAACATCACTTTATCCATAAACAACCATGTGAAACTCAACGGGGCATCAGTTAAATGCACTAATCTCTTGAAATTGATTTAAAGATCTAATGGAATTAAAAGCCAAAACACAGCAATGTGAAAATTTCCCATAACACTGCAATTACTGTGTTTTTTCTCAGCCGTTACATTATCATACTGACATAAAAAGCTCTTTTCAATGTTTACTTTCTATGAAACTTTAAAGTTATATAATGTCCTTGATTGTACACTTTGTTTGGAGTTGTGTGTGTGTATACCTCTCTAAGAATCACCTGTAGGCAGTGGACTAGTTTGATGAAGACAAATTCTATATGGCAACATCTTATTAGACTTAAACTCCATCTTTGTTCTTTCTTACAGCTGAATGCTGACCTCAGGAAACTTGCTGTAAACATGGTTCCTTTCCCTCGTCTTCACTTTTTCATGCCTGGATTTGCCCCCCTCACCAGCAGAGGATCCCAGCAGTATCGTGCACTAACAGTACCAGAACTTACCCAGCAGATGTTTGATGCCAAGAACATGATGGCTGCATGTGATCCAAGGCATGGTCGTTATCTGACTGTTGCAGCCATGTTCCGTGGTCGTATGTCCATGAAGGAAGTAGATGAACAGATGTTGAACGTNCTGACATAAAAAGCTCTTTTCAATGTTTACTTTCTATGAAACTTTAAAGTTATATAATGTCCTTGATTGTACACTTTGTTTGGAGTTGTGTGTGTGTATACCTCTCTAAGAATCACCTGTAGGCAGTGGACTAGTTTGATGAAGACAAATTCTATATGGCAACATCTTATTAGACTTAAACTCCATCTTTGTTCTTTCTTACAGCTGAATGCTGACCTCAGGAAACTTGCTGTAAACATGGTTCCTTTCCCTCGTCTTCACTTTTTCATGCCTGGATTTGCCCCCCTCACCAGCAGAGGATCCCAGCAGTATCGTGCACTAACAGTACCAGAACTTACCCAGCAGATGTTTGATGCCAAGAACATGATGGCTGCATGTGATCCAAGGCATGGTCGTTATCTGACTGTTGCAGCCATGTTCCGTGGTCGTATGTCCATGAAGGAAGTAGATGAACAGATGTTGAACGTTCAGAACAAGAACAGCTCCTACTTCGTTGAGTGGATCCCCAACAACGTGAAGACAGCTGTTTGTGACATCCCACCCCGTGGTCTGAAGATGTCCTCCACCTTCGTTGGCAACAGCACTGCCATCCAGGAACTATTCAAGCGTATCAGTGAGCAGTTCACTGCTATGTTCAGGCGTAAGGCTTTCTTGCATTGGTACACTGGTGAAGGCATGGATGAAATGGAATTCACTGAGGTGAGCACCTTTTCCTTAATATGAAACCATCAAGAAACTGTTGTGATTAGCTAAGAAAAACTTTCCTTTTTGAACAGTATATTTTTTTGCTTTTGACAAAGATAAGCTGATGTGACTATAAATTACTTTAAACTGATTGTTTTTTTATACCTCTGTTTGCAGGCTGAATCCAACATGAACGATCTTGTGTCTGAGTACCAACAATACCAGGATGCAACAGCTGAAGAGGAAGGAGAGTTTGATGAGGAAGAAGAAGAGGAGGGCGAAGTCGCATAAAGTCTAGATCTTCAAGTCTCTTGAAACAAAATAATAAATTGCAGGATAACTGATAATGAAGTTTCTTGATTCACTCCAAACTGTGTAATAATAAATTCAGTAGATACTAAAACTTGAGTAAGTAAGTAAACAGTTACTTTTTTTCTTGAAAAGAAAAGGAAAATCCTGTGATAGAAACAATCTGACAGTCTGCCCTTTTTACCATGGAATGATATTAAAATTTATCAGTAATAAAGACAGATTCCTGCAAGAATAAATGTGTCTGAACTTGTCAAAATGGTGTCTAGTTTACTTACCTCCCCCACTGTATCTCGAAAGGATTCTTGTACAGATAGACAGCCATGCCTTTGCAAGCAATAAGTCTTTTGCTTCCATACTTAACAGTGTTATATTATAATTTTAGATACCCTTGTTATTTGGCTAATCTGATATTGATCAGCGGAGAAAAAGGTGTTTTCAGATCAACTGATCAGTGTGCCCTAGTATTCCAACCGTCCCCATCCACTAAGATAGTCGTGTAACAAGTTTTTGATCATTTATATGAAAAGACAGAGGCTAGGATGGAGACCCCAGACTTGTTGGACACATGACGTATATTATGCAATGCAATAAACTCAGAAGAGAACCGTTCGACTTGAACATGTGAAAATCATTGAGAGCCAATGTGCTCCATTGGGGTAGAGTCTAGATTTTATAGATCTTTATATTGTGCAAAGGAAAGGGTCGATTCCAAGCTCTAGAACCGAAGTACGGTGCTTAGTTCGGTCATCAATGGCGAAGCAATGTATGGGCGATGTGCCAACCTTATTCCCAGGGTCCTCCCGTTTGCACACTCTACGGTTGCTTAGGTGCCAGAAATGACGGCCATTGGTCTGGATACAACAGCCCAAACTCTTCTTATTAGTACTTGTGCTCGAGTCGCCAGGTAGGACCGGACTGAAGCCCATACATGCTGGTGTGAATTTCCGACGAAACTACCACCTTTGAGATTAAAGCGACGATCCCTTTGCGATTTCAACCAAGTTTGATAACGTTACTCGGGGAAACCTGTCAAAAAGTGTGCCACGCGTTTAGAGTTTTTGTTTTGCTCATTTTCTCGTTCCCGTCGTCGTTATGGTTGCGCTGAGCTCGTTAGTAGCGTTACCACACGCGCAACGATTTCGCCTGAAAAACTGACGTTTTGTGGGAAAACGACGTTAGCAGACACTCATTCAGAGGCTCAACCTACTGTATGAAACACATTTGTCAGTGATTTGTCTGAGCCCCACCGGTGTCGACTGAGTAAAAACTTTACAAGCGCAGCCATTGTCTAATGCTCTCACGGTCCGAAGGCAATTGTGACACTTGTAAAAGTTTTATTAAAAGGACTCCTAAATAAGATAAGACAGCAGTTATCGTCGTTAACTCTCAGGCGTGTCATATTTGCAGTCAACGGACTGTTGGGTGCCCCCTTCGCGAGTTTCATTCAAAAACGAGCTAGTTATTCCACCTTTACTTACATACCTAAAACAGGGGCACCCAATGAGAATATAGTTCAAAACCACTTAAACATAGCATTGTTAAAACGTATTTTAGTATTTAAACGGTAGATAAAGGCATATTTTTATCCCCTAAAAATTTTTCATCTGTTCGGATTTCCTAGCTGAAAGTCTCGAGATCCGAAAATCATAGGGATCAAAACTTACCTTTTCGAAAATTTCAGTTAGAAAAAAGGCTCCCGAAAATTCTATGTGAGCTTTTTAGGGTAAAAATCCATTAAAAAATGGGCAATTACAATTTTTAGATGTTCGAAAATCCTAGGAGAGGTAGGCAAGCAAGAGATTTTACAAAAAATGTTCCGAAAATTCTAGATCTCAAATCGTCTTCCGAACAGATATTTTCCGAAAATTGACGTTGGGTGCCCCTGCTAAAAGTGTGTTCCCGTGTTAGCTAAAGTTGGTGTCTGAAGAAACTGGTATTGCGGCTTGCAAGACAAAAATTTGGCTGAACAAATTTTTGGCTTGGCGTTTCATCTGGCTACCGAAGTTGATGAAAGTAAATTTGGCCACCCGCGTAAACCGAGATTCGAAAGCTTCCAGCGCAAGGCCCGAGATCGCAGCGATTCACAGAAGCTGTTCACTCTCTTTAAGGGCTAACACTCGAAACGTTGGTTTTTGAAAATTTCTTGACCGCTGCCGATTTCAACTCAGTTGATAGAACAAATCTCCCTAAAAATTCAAGGTCACCGTTACTCGCTACGTGCAGGATAGTAATTCGGCGAGTCATCAGAAGACTCAAGAGGGCCAATGCAGTCAATTACAAACATTATTACTTGCATTACCGTTCTCTTGCTCATATTTCAGGGGCACCCAACGTCAATTTTCGGAAAAAAATCTGTTTGGAAGACGATTTGAGATCTAGAATTTTCGGAACATTTGTTGTAAAATTTCTTGCTTGCCTGCCTCTCCTAGGATTTTCGGACATCTAAAAAATGATGTAATTGCCCATTTTAACGGATTTTTACCCTAAAAAGGTCACCTGGGATTTTCGGGAGCCTTTTTTCTGGCTGAAATTTTCGAAAAGGTAAGTTTTGATCCCTATAATTTTCGGATCACTTGCCTTTGAGCTAGAAATCCGAACAGATGAAAAATTTTTAGGGGATATGAATATCCCTATATCTACCGTTTAAAGAGTAAAATACGTTCCACAATGCTATGTTTAAGCGGTTTTGAACTATATTCTCGATGGGTGCCCCTGATATTTATCAACGCTTCTTATTTTTTACGTGTCAATACTAGTTTGAGTTAGTGCTCAATATCAAGAACAGATGTCAGCTAGTTAATAATTCTTCTAATGAAAAATAAATGAGCAGATAAAAACTGTCCAGAGAAATTCAGTCGAAGTCATAGGAAACCGGCATGAAACCATTTATTTTTGCGTGGATATTTAAGGAACAAAATATACACGGCAAGTAAAGAGATCACGTGGTACAGACTGACGTTAGCCGTACTCTCTCTTCGTTTTCTCCGAATATCCCACTTCCCTAAATACTTAGTTCATATTCCACTGATGCACTATAAGAATAGTAGGTGAAAGGATAAAAAGCTGTAAATAAAAAGCATATATTATATCTATTATCGCGATGCAAAAAAATAGCCCGCGCCTTTTTCGCAATTTTTTTTCGATCCATTCTCCCCACTATCTTGGAGCCTGGAACAGGATATGCAAATTTTAGGCGTTTTGAGAAGTCTCCGGAACAAAAGGCTATGATTGGTTACTGATCTGACGTCGTCTTGGTTACACTAATACGTCACAATGAGTTGACGCGAGTAAAAATCAAAACGAAAGTTGTTCAGTTGAAGTTGCTGCGGGAGACTTTTTCTAAATTTTTGCCAAGTAAAAGTAGAAAAATGCGTGAAATTGTTCATCTTCAAGCTGGCCAATGCGGCAACCAAATTGGGGCCAAGGTAAGAGGCAATCAGTTAAGTTCAATTTAGGATCTCACGAAGTATTAAGCGTATTTTCATTCATTTCAGTTCTGGGAAGTTATCTCGGACGAGCATGGCATCGATCCGACTGGCACATATCACGGAGATTCCGACCTTCAGCTGGAAAGAATAAACGTCTATTACAATGAAGCTACCGGTAAATTGTCTTTCTCTTTGTACAGGTTAAATCTGCCTTCCTATTGTACGTCTCAAAGAAATCTTTTTCCCTGCGCATTTTCTTGTTTTTCTCTAACTTTCAGGCGGCAAATACGTTCCAAGAGCGGTTCTTGTCGATCTTGAGCCCGGGACAATGGATTCTGTTCGCTCGGGGCCATTTGGACAAATTTTCCGACCCGACAATTTTGTTTTTGGTAAGTGATAGTGCGGTCTCTTCACTTAATTATTTGACGCGGGGAGTGTTAAGTATGAAAAATTTATTAGCTCAGAAAACCATTTTTGCTCTCCATTTTGCCGCAGCACCAGTATTTGCGGTCATATAAAGTTACAGTTGCTTTTGCCCATCCAGTACGTAAACATTTCAACAAAACATAAGCTCATTGCAAAGACGCCATACGGTCAAGAGAAAATGACTTAACTGATTTGAAGTCTTTTGTCAAAGCGCTTTTCCTCATATTATACTGACATCATCCAAAATATCTTTCAAACTTCTATGGGAAAAGGTGGCGGGAAATTGCCGCTTACCATTATTTGTTATGATGCCACAGACATATCTTTGACAGGTATTCCCACCGCAATCAAATATCCCTGACTCCTTCCACTTTTTTCATCTTTATCAGTAGCTCTTTTTACAGAAGGTCTTGGGTTCTTTCAGAAAAACCATAGAAACTACCAGCCATACAGTAGACACTGAGTCGGCTGTTAATTTACTATACCAGCATTGTTCTATGTTAAGAATATAGGTGCGGTCTCTTTCATAATAAACTTGTTGTTATCTTAAAAAATGATTCCCCGACTGCGAGCAAGCACGCTCCTCTAAATGTTTTCCTCTTTAAATGATTTTTGTTTTCCTTTTTTATTTTTTCTGCTTCTCCTAGAAGTGACTTGTGTAAGATTCTGAGTTTAACTTGAAACAGGGGCTCACAATGCGACATCTCTGTTCGTCACTTACATTTCCTATAAAATCAGTAGTTTCTTATATGTGGAAATATCCTCCGAGTTGAAAGCATAACTGATCAATAAAGAATAAACCTGAACCCCGAATGTACCATTTCTTGATTTGAAAGCTGTGTCGAAAAAAAAATCCTTGAAGAAAGCAGGTCGAGTCTTTTCTTAAGAAAAACATCTTTTTGACAACCCTCAAAGACACTTCTGCTATTACAACCTTTGGAACTAGTAGACCTAGTAGTAGGAACGTCGCGAAAACAAGGTCAAGGAATAGGACGCGCGGGATCTGGTAAGGGGCGGCGCCTTCTTTCTCACCAGTCTCCACACGTTTTTCGTATCAGTTTTAACGATCTTTGCACATTACTACCATGAAGCCTGGAACAGTCTAAGCACACTACAGCCGCTGATTCAAACTATGCAGCCAACAAGTGTGAAAAATGTTCACAAAAACAAAAACTAAGGCCTATTTGTTTTTTCTGTAACATTAATGATATGGAGGAGATTTCATATATTCATCAGGTCAGAGTGGTGCCGGAAACAACTGGGCGAAAGGACATTACACTGAAGGAGCTGAATTGGTAGATTCTGTGCTTGATGTAGTTCGTAAAGAAGCAGAGAGCTGCGATTGCCTTCAAGGCTTTCAGCTCACGCACTCTCTTGGCGGTGGAACCGGCTCTGGAATGGGAACGCTTCTTATTTCGAAGATCAGAGAAGAATATCCCGACAGAATCATGAACACATTCAGTGTTGTGCCATCACCAAAAGTATCGGACACCGTTGTAGAGCCTTACAACGCTACACTGTCGGTCCATCAGTTGGTCGAAAACACTGATGAAACATATTGCATTGACAATGAAGCTCTGTACGATATCTGCTTCAGAACCCTGAAGCTCACCACACCAACTTATGGCGACTTGAACCATCTCGTGTCAGCGACGATGAGCGGTGTTACAACTTGCCTTCGTTTCCCTGGACAGGTAATAAAATATTATTTTACAACTATGATAAAGAATTAAACCAAACAAATAACATGGACCAATGGGTTCCTATGGTGAACGCAGTGCATCCTATTTAAGGTGATTCTCTAGAAAAAGAACCTAACATAGATTGTAGACGAAACTTGGTACACTGATGTAACAAGTCAAGAAGATGATAAAAAGGTAATAAAAAGTGGAGGTCACCGTGCTCGTTTTGACGTCACAATGCTGACAAATACGGCTATTTTGGGCCCTTTGACAAAAACCGCCCGCAGCCCAAAACTAGACAAAAAGGAAAGATTTTTTCAATTATGCATGTGGTATCGCACAGAATTTGACTTTAATGTATTGTTTATCCACTTACGTACCAGAAAAATGCCTTTTAATGCCCTTGTTTTTACTTTACGCTCCAAAGTAGAATTAAATTGGACACGCGCTATTCGACACGTGATAGCTCAATCCGTACAATTTAGTAAAATTGCCGAAAAACTGAACATAGATTTGTGCCAATTTTTTTCTCACTGAAAGGAAACACTGTCCTTATTAAAATCATGAAATAAAAAATGGGGGTCACCGTACTCGTTTTTGCGGTAGAGCTGCAGAAAGTGCGCACCAAATGCATTTTCCTTGATTTTTGAGAGAGGACTGGGGCGAGTTTCAAAATAGCATGTATGCGAAAGGGGAAGAAAGTATTCAAAAGTCCGTTTTTACAGAATTTACATCGAGATATCACATTTAGGACACAATGTGATAAAGAAAGCGTTTAAATGAAAATCAAAGTGAATAAGCACAAATTAAACATCCACTATCGAGGTTCTCCTTGGGGAAGTCGTACTCAGCAACACGCGTACTGCTTACGTTTTGCACATTCCCACCACATTGAGTCTCACCTCGGCAAGAAACAACCGCAAGCAAAAATTCCAATAGCGTTTCTCTTCGATCAACTTCATTTTAATAATGTTACTTCACATGCTATTTTTTACGGAGGCCATCTTGTTATGCGCAGTAAGAGATGCGCAGTGCAAAACCAGGGAATCACCTTAAACGGGAAAAGCAAATGAACGCTTATTTCCCTCCTGCAAGGTTGTCATTAACGCCTAAATACCTCTTTTGTTTAGCTGAACGCTGACCTCAGGAAACTAGCCGTGAACATGGTTCCTTTCCCTCGTCTTCACTTTTTCATGCCTGGATTTGCCCCCCTCACCAGCAGAGGATCCCAGCAGTATCGTGCACTAACAGTACCAGAACTAACCCAGCAGATGTTTGATGCCAAGAACATGATGGCTGCATGTGATCCAAGGCATGGTCGTTATCTAACTGTTGCAGCCATGTTCCGTGGTCGTATGTCCATGAAGGAAGTAGATGAACAGATGTTGAACGTTCAGAACAAGAACAGTTCCTACTTCGTTGAGTGGATCCCCAACAACGTGAAGACAGCTGTATGTGACATCCCACCCCGTGGTCTGAAGATGTCTGCTACCTTCGTTGGCAACAGCACTGCCATCCAAGAGCTGTTCAAGCGCATCAGTGAGCAGTTCACTGCTATGTTCAGGCGTAAGGCTTTCTTGCATTGGTACACTGGTGAAGGCATGGATGAAATGGAATTCACTGAGGTAAGGACTGTTGATGCTATGCACCTTTTCAGTATAGTTCTCACCACTGTCGAATTAATTGTAATTGCTACTTGGGTAACTGTAGGACTAAGGACTGATTCATGCGATATTCCAACTGCAGAGCTTCACTTGCTATTACGTAGGTTAGACTATACTTACCTTAGGCAGGTCCCCAAAAAGGTATATTCATAAATGTATTTTATCCCTGTGCTCGCAGTCTTCGTTAAGATAGTGCTTCCCTAATAGCGATTTTCGTATGACCTTGAAATGAAAAAGCGCGAACAAAACAGGAACAACAAACGAACGGAAATAAGGCGATTTGATTGGTTTATCAAACGGATACAAACGCGCGTGGCTGTTGGTTGGTTAAGGGTCCGTTCTCTTCTTCGAGCCGTCCGTTCTAACTAAACGCCTGAAACAGGATAGTTTGTTTAAGGAAGGTTATCTAAAGGAGAAGTTCATTTTAGAAATTACTAAAGCTGCTAAATAATTAATTCTTTACACAGGCTGAATCTAATATGAATGATCTTGTGTCTGAGTACCAACAATACCAGGATGCTACAGCTGAGGAGGAAGGAGAGTTTGATGAGGAAGAAGAAGAAGGAGAAGCTGCCTAAGGCTGCCTCAGTTTTTTTGCTTAAACCTTTTTGAAAATGTATCTATTTGACCTGAAAATGGTTAATAAAATCTTGCTTTTCCTTTGCATGTATACTGGCTTATAAATTTTGGAAAACGCGGTGTAATCATGTTCATGTCGGGACCTTTTCCGTCAGCCTTCTGCATACTCTGCTTGTTGCTAACAACTTTCCCCGGCTTAATGACCTTCCCTTGAATGCTCAGATAACGCACATTTGCGCTCTGTCAGTGAAAAATACCTGGTATGTAATGCTACCTTTTTGCAACGACAAAGTTGAACGTGAAAAACGCCGAGATCCTCAGGTTTTATAGCAAAATTTATGATTACAGTTATGCAGGTTTCAAATCTAATACGTCACAATGAGTTGACGCGAGTAAAAATCAAAACGAAAGTTGTTCAGTTGAAGTTGCTGCGGGAGACTTTTTCTAAATTTTTGCCAAGTAAAAGTAGAAAAATGCGTGAAATTGTTCATCTTCAAGCTGGCCAATGCGGCAACCAAATTGGGGCCAAGGTAAGAGGCAATCAGTTAAGTTCAATTTAGGATCTCACGAAGTATTAAGCGTATTTTCATTCATTTCAGTTCTGGGAAGTTATCTCGGACGAGCATGGCATCGATCCGACTGGCACATATCACGGAGATTCCGACCTTCAGCTGGAAAGAATAAACGTCTATTACAATGAAGCTACCGGTAAATTGTCTTTCTCTTTGTACAGGTTAAATCTGCCTTCCTATTGTACGTCCCAAAGAAATCTTTTTCCCTGCGCATTTTCTTGTTTTTCTCTAACTTTCAGGCGGCAAATACGTTCCAAGAGCGGTTCTTGTCGATCTTGAGCCCGGGACAATGGATTCTGTTCGCTCGGGGCCATTTGGACAAATTTTCCGACCCGACAATTTTGTTTTTGGTAAGTGATAGTGCGGTCTCTTCACTTAATTATTTGACGCGGGGAGTGTTAAGTATGAAAAATTTATTAGCTCAGAAAACCATTTTTGCTCTCCATTTTGCCGCAGCACCAGTATTTGCGGTCATATAAAGTTACAGTTGCTTTTGCCCATCCAGTACGTAAACATTTCAACAAAACATAAGCTCATTGCAAAGACGCTATACGGTCAAGAGAAAATGACTTAACTGATTTGAAGTCTTTTGTCAAAGCGCTTTTCCTCATATTATACTGACATCATCCAAAATATCTTTCAAACTTCTATGGGAAAAGGTGGCGGGAAATTGCCGCTTACCATTATTTGTTATGATGCCACAGACATATCTTTGACAGGTATTCCCACCGCAATCAAATATCCCTGACTCCTTCCACTTTTTTCATCTTTATCAGTAGCTCTTTTTACAGAAGGTCTTGGGTTCTTTCAGAAAAACCATAGAAACTACCAGCCATACAGTAGACACTGAGTCGGCTGTTAATTTACTATACCAGCATTGTTCTATGTTAAGAATATAGGTGCGGTCTCTTTCATAATAAACTTGTTGTTATCTTAAAAAATGATTCCCCGACTGCGAGCAAGCACGCTCCTCTAAATGTTTTCCTCTTTAAATGATTTTTGTTTTCCTTTTTTATTTTTTCTGCTTCTCCTAGAAGTGACTTGTGTAAGATTCTGAGTTTAACTTGAAACAGGGGCTCACAATGCGACATCTCTGTTCGTCACTTACATTTCCTATAAAATCAGTAGTTTCTTATATGTGGAAATATCCTCCGAGTTGAAAGCATAACTGATCAATAAAGAATAAACCTGAACCCCGAATGTACCATTTCTTGATTTGAAAGCTGTGTCGAAAAAAAAATCCTTGAAGAAAGCAGGTCGAGTCTTTTCTTAAGAAAAACATCTTTTTGACAACCCTCAAAGACACTTCTGCTATTACAACCTTTGGAACTAGTAGACCTAGTAGTAGGAACGTCGCGAAAACAAGGTCAAGGAATAGGACGCGCGGGATCTGGTAAGGGGCGGCGCCTTCTTTCTCACCAGTCTCCACACGTTTTTCGTATCAGTTTTAACGATCTTTGCACATTACTACCATGAAGCCTGGAACAGTCTAAGCACACTACAGCCGCTGATTCAAACTATGCAGCCAACAAGTGTGAAAAATGTTCACAAAAACAAAAACTAAGGCCTATTTGTTTTTTCTGTAACATTAATGATATGGAGGAGATTTCATATATTCATCAGGTCAGAGTGGTGCCGGAAACAACTGGGCGAAAGGACATTACACTGAAGGAGCTGAATTGGTAGATTCTGTGCTTGATGTAGTTCGTAAAGAAGCAGAGAGCTGCGATTGCCTTCAAGGCTTTCAGCTCACGCACTCTCTTGGCGGTGGAACCGGCTCTGGAATGGGAACGCTTCTTATTTCGAAGATCAGAGAAGAATATCCCGACAGAATCATGAACACATTCAGTGTTGTGCCATCACCAAAAGTATCGGACACCGTTGTAGAGCCTTACAACGCTACACTGTCGGTCCATCAGTTGGTCGAAAACACTGATGAAACATATTGCATTGACAATGAAGCTCTGTACGATATCTGCTTCAGAACCCTGAAGCTCACCACACCAACTTATGGCGACTTGAACCATCTCGTGTCAGCGACGATGAGCGGTGTTACAACTTGCCTTCGTTTCCCTGGACAGGTAATAAAATATTATTTTACAACTATGATAAAGAATTAAACCAAACAAATAACATGGACCAATGGGTTCCTATGGTGAACGCAGTGCATCCTATTTAAGGTGATTCTCTAGAAAAAGAACCTAACATAGATTGTAGACGAAACTTGGTACACTGATGTAACAAGTCAAGAAGATGATAAAAAGGTAATAAAAAGTGGAGGTCACCGTGCTCGTTTTGACGTCACAATGCTGACAAATACGGCTATTTTGGGCCCTTTGACAAAAACCGCCCGCAGCCCAAAACTAGACAAAAAGGAAAGATTTTTTCAATTATGCATGTGGTATCGCACAGAATTTGACTTTAATGTATTGTTTATCCACTTACGTACCAGAAAAATGCCTTTTAATGCCCTTGTTTTTACTTTACGCTCCAAAGTAGAATTAAATTGGACACGCGCTATTCGACACGTGATAGCTCAATCCGTACAATTTAGTAAAATTGCCGAAAAACTGAACATAGATTTGTGCCAATTTTTTTCTCACTGAAAGGAAACACTGTCCTTATTAAAATCATGAAATAAAAAATGGGGGTCACCGTACTCGTTTTTGCGGTAGAGCTGCAGAAAGTGCGCACCAAATGCATTTTCCTTGATTTTTGAGAGAGGACTGGGGCGAGTTTCAAAATAGCATGTATGCGAAAGGGGAAGAAAGTATTCAAAAGTCCGTTTTTACAGAATTTACATCGAGATATCACATTTAGGACACAATGTGATAAAGAAAGCGTTTAAATGAAAATCAAAGTGAATAAGCACAAATTAAACATCCACTATCGAGGTTCTCCTTGGGGAAGTCGTACTCAGCAACACGCGTACTGCTTACGTTTTGCACATTCCCACCACATTGAGTCTCACCTCGGCAAGAAACAACCGCAAGCAAAAATTCCAATAGCGTTTCTCTTCGATCAACTTCATTTTAATAATGTTACTTCACATGCTATTTTTTACGGAGGCCATCTTGTTATGCGCAGTAAGAGATGCGCAGTGCAAAACCAGGGAATCACCTTAAACGGGAAAAGCAAATGAACGCTTATTTCCCTCCTGCAAGGTTGTCATTAACGCCTAAATACCTCTTTTGTTTAGCTGAACGCTGACCTCAGGAAACTAGCCGTGAACATGGTTCCTTTCCCTCGTCTTCACTTTTTCATGCCTGGATTTGCCCCCCTCACCAGCAGAGGATCCCAGCAGTATCGTGCACTAACAGTACCAGAACTAACCCAGCAGATGTTTGATGCCAAGAACATGATGGCTGCATGTGATCCAAGGCATGGTCGTTATCTGACTGTTGCAGCCATGTTCCGTGGTCGTATGTCCATGAAGGAAGTAGATGAACAGATGTTGAACGTTCAGAACAAGAACAGTTCCTACTTCGTTGAGTGGATCCCCAACAACGTGAAGACAGCTGTATGTGACATCCCACCCCGTGGTCTGAAGATGTCTGCTACCTTCGTTGGCAACAGCACTGCCATCCAAGAGCTGTTCAAGCGCATCAGTGAGCAGTTCACTGCTATGTTCAGGCGTAAGGCTTTCTTGCATTGGTACACTGGTGAAGGCATGGATGAAATGGAATTCACTGAGGTAAGGACTGTTGATGCTATGCACCTGTTCAGTATAGTTCTCACCACTGTGGAATCAATTGTAATTGCTACTTGGGTAACTGTAATACTAAGGACTGATTCATGCGATATTCCAACTGCAGAGCTTCGCCTGCTATTACGTAGGTTAGACTATACTTACCTTAGGCAGGTCCCCAAAAAGGTATATTCATAAATGTATTTTATCCCTGTGCTCGCAGTCTTTGTTAAGATAGTGCTTCCCTAATAGCGATTTTCGTATGACCTTGAAATGAAAAAGCGCGAACAAAGCAGGAACAACAAACGAACGGAAATAAGGCGATTTGATTGGTTTATCGAACGGATACAAACGGGCGTGGCTGTTGGTTGGTTAAGGGTCCGTTCTCTTCTTCGAGCCGTCCATTCTAACTAAACGCCTGAAACAGGATAGTATGTTTAAGGAAGGTTATCTAAAGGAGAAGTTCATTTTAGAAATTACTAAAGCTGCTAACTAATTAATTCTTTACACAGGCTGAATCTAACATGAATGATCTTGTGTCTGAGTACCAACAATACCAGGATGCTACAGCTGAGGAGGAAGGAGAGTTTGATGAGGAAGAAGAAGAAGGAGAAGCTGCCTAAGGCTGCCTCAGTTTTTTTGCTTAAACCTTTTTGAAAATGTATCTATTTGACCTGAAAATGGTTAATAAAATCTTGCTTTTCCTCTGCATGTATACTGGCTTATAAATTTTGGAAAACGCGGTGTAATCAGATGTTCATGTCGGGACCTTTTCCGTCAGCCTTCTGCATACTCTGCTTGTTGCTAACAACTTTCCCCGGCTTAATGACCTTCCCTTGAATGCTCAGATAACGGACATTTGCGCTCTGTCAGTGAAAAATACCTGGTATGTAATGCTACCTTTTTGCAACGACAAAGTTGAACGTGAAAAACGCCGAGATCCTCAGGTTTTATAGCAAAATTTATGATTACAGTTATGCAGGTTTCAAATCGAAGGGGACACATGAATACTGGTATAAGAAGAATATGGACCTTGTCACTCACTCATTCCATGGATAATATAAAGACTGGCAGTCTTTCTTCTATCCATGCTCATTCCACACAAACTTTTGAGTACTCCCTCGCCATGCCGAGTGTTGGCGTAAACGCATTTTGCTGCTTTTTACTAGTCTGTCTACTGGTTTTCATTTTACACTGTTGTGAGAATTTATTAAAGTATACATGCACAGACAGCTGGACAGCTGCAACCAGAGGTATACACGAGATAAATCTTACAGCGAAAAACATTATCTCACCGCCGCTATAAAAATTTTCATGTTTTTCTTCCAACCAAATTGGTCTCCGTTGCTTTTTATCTCTTTGACTAGCTCTTTCCCTGTTTTCCACGTTAATATAGACACTACAATTTAGTCGAGAGAAAGACTCAGTTGGACAATTTTGTAGGAATCAAAATTTCTTGGATGCATATAGATAACCAGATTTTCTGACCTAACGTGCTCCGAAGCTGAACAGACAGGTTTTTACAAACTACAACTCCACAGCGTAATAGGAAAATGCCTCTGCTAGAGTAAGCACACGCAAAGATCATAAACGCTCTGGAGAGGAGCAGCAATTTTAGAAAATTTGATGGAGCTCCTTTCTCAGTTCGTAAAGAAATTGGCTGAAAACACGGTGCATAGTGCATAACTGTTGTGTCAGAGAGCAAAAAAGCATCACCTTCCATTTTTGTTCCTTTAAAAGAATGGACTGGTTGAAAGTGCCAAAAAACGCATGAACGCAAATCAACCAACTCCTTAAAAAGAAACCGAAGTTTTATTTGGCAAAGGCCTTACTTGCCAAAAGTCTCTTTGGTGAAAGACTGGCATTTTTGGCTGATAAGATTTCATTTGGCCAGCTTTACTGGCCCTAGGCGCCTTCTCAAAAACGATATTGATAAAAATTCTCGGGGCGTTATTGCCAATAACCCTATTCCTAAAAAAAAGCCTCTGCAAAGAGAATAGACCTTGCAAATGCGAAGTTGATTTCCATTTTTTAATTTTCAGCAATTTTTGATTCAAAATTCCTTTATTCTAGCATAAATATCCTTTGAAACGATGGCAACGCCGGTTCCAGCAGGCTATTTTGAAATAAACAAATTAACTGAGAATACAGGCCTGCTGAGAATATGTATGTGGTTTTTGGTAGGTGCCAACGACCAGCTGCCGGAAGCGCTTTTGGCGCGAAAACGAGGTTATTGAAAACTTCGACAACTCTACCGGTTTCTGGTTCCTGTTTTGGTTCATGTAAGCTTTTTGAAAGGATCCACAGTAATGCTATGAATTATTGATGCTTTTGCTCGAGTCGAAGATTTATTATAACAGAGTGGACAGCACACCGCTTGGCGCAAGAGAAATTATGTCGGGCTGTGCAATGGAACAAGACAACAACTCCCTTTGGTCGCCTGTGTGATGCGGGAAATTATAAATGTTCAAGTCGGACAATGCGGAAACCAAATTGGTTATAAGGTGCTTTAACAATTTACCACTTTAAATCTCCACTTGCGTGTAGCTACAAAAACATTACTGAGTGAGATAATTTCTTTGTTTGCCGTTCAATTTACACGTAGCGGGAACAGTGATTTTAAATGTCCATTATTGTTGTGGCAGTTTTGGGAAATTCTTTGCGCGGAACATGGAATAGACGAGGAGGGGTGCTACAATGGAAGTTGTAACTCGCAGTTGGAGAAAATCAATGTTTACTTCGCCGAGGGTGCTGGTAGGTAATGCCAGAGAACAGCAGTAGTTATTTATAATATCTCAAAACCGCTCTCAATACTAACTGTGAAGCTTAATGTTAAGACTGCAGTAAAACTGCGTTTAATTGGAGTGTTATAATGTTTTTGCTTGCTGCAGGCAATAGATATGTACCGCGTTCGGTCCTTGTCGACTTGGAGTCGGGCACGATGGATTCACTTCGTTCCGCGCCGTTTGGAAAGGTCTTTCGACCTGACAATTTTATTTTCGGTAAGTCCGTAGTGTGGCTGGTACGGTCATGTAAATAACGAATATATTTAGGTACAGCTTAAGTGTCTCTACTTTCACGTGTATAAGCTATTTAAATTTATGCAGTCCAATGACTTTGAAACGCTATTTTGGGAAATGGGTGCAGTTTCAAGACTTTTCGATCACTTTTACGAAGTTTTTAGAACTTTATCAGTTATATATCATAAAATTGTTTGTTATCTTTTAGACTGCCTAAGTGTCTCAGATTCCAAGGAACGTTTTTTGGTAGATAAACAATGAATTATTAAATTGTTTTTCTCCCAAGACTGTTTTTGTTTCGGTAATTTCTGTTTTACTCAGTTACACTGAATCACTTTCGTGGGTTCTCGAGATTTCCCTCAATGCTCATCATATCCGGCGTCACTAAACCGTGTACATCTTTTCTTTAGAAATTTTCATCAGAGAAAACGTTGCAGTCAAAATTGCCAATAGGTGTTATCCTCTTCTTGAGCTCCGTTTTAATGACGAAATAAAAATTTCATAGACAGAAGAATGAATGCTTCACCCAGCTTTCAGAATCTAGCTCATTCAGCAATTTTGCATTGTGCCTAGTGTGGCGTGTCACCCGAAGCTTTCAAAACAGAAATTTCTAGTACGTGCGAAATGGAATATAAAATTTAAACTCTTGCATATAGTGACTATGCGGAATTTGCCAAATATTTCTTAATATATTGCACCACAGAAAAGTCATGCCCGAAAGCGTGCATTTCATCTTTCACACAATGGGAACTGATTCAAAGAGCAAAACATACAACAACCTTTTTAATTGCTTTGCTCGACTTCTCACTGCCGGCTGAACTTTTAAAGAGAATATCTTTTTATACGACAGTAACATTTCCTGCTGGCATACTTTTTCTTTTTAAATGCCGACGCGTATACTGACGTCTTAATAGATATTAAAATGCATTCTTGTATAAGTTTGTTTAAGGTGCGTCCTCCCCTAATGAATTAAGCCTGTAATACAGTTTCGTCAACCGTGAAGGAGTCTAATGGTTAAAGCCTTAAAACAACGTAACAAAGAAAAGATAAATGTCTAATTGAGTGGTTGCTTTGGTAAATTGAATAACGTTTGTTTAAAGGGCGGCCTGTATATGATTAAAACTCCCACGAGAACGCTATGTTTCTCTACCCCCTACGTGTACCAGGGATTCGGGAAAAAAGCATGATTTCAACGAGTCGCACTCCTTCTGGGACTTGCAAAACAACTACATATTTGCATTAGTACAGGTTTAAAAGCCAGGCCAAGAACTTTGTGATTCTGAAAGTTTGAAATTTGGACAGCTGGATACCTGGCCAAAGTTTTATTTTAAAACTCTCTGCTGCAGAGTAAACTCAAGATCGAGAACAAAGGTGACAAGATGAAGGGCAATAAACCGATGACTCCAAAAGGGAGAGTAATCCTGCCGGCGCGGAAGGCGTTTAAGGCGTTTGAACGGAAAGGAAGAATCATGCTAAGGGACGCGCCTTAATTTCCTCTTTCCTTCCTCTTCGCCGCCGCTCAGGCTAAGAGAGAGAGAGAGTTTTTAAATCATCTCTCCCTATATCTCGTTTATTTAAGTGCCTTCTCGCTCAAATAGTCAAATAATACAATGAGTTCGAGTTCGAGGCAAAGCAAGACAGGAAACTGCAAAGAGCGGAAACACTTGCGCAACCAATATGCGCAACCTACATGTATATCACGTGTCACAATCCATCTCATCCCCAGTGCTTTCTCCTCTTTAACATTCTTTCGTTTAAAAGTTACCTCACTCCTTAGCTACATTGACGAATGTCGTATTTGAATACCAACGGTTCCATTGTTGGTGTTTTATTAACTGCAGATCGCTGAATTGTTACCAAAGATTCCATAGCAAGCATTCACAGTCTCATTCGATACAACCAAAGCTAAGTTTTAGGAGAAATTCAGTTATACTTCAGACTGACTTTGTTTTCCTATTCTCCTAGGTGAATGCGGCGCCGGAAACAACTGGGCTAAAGGCTTTTACACAAATGGATGTAATCTACTTGAACAAGTTATGGACGCAGTTAGGAAAGAAGCTGAGGGATGCGACTCGATCCAGGGCTTTCAGTTGGCGCATTCACTGGGAGGTGGCACGGGGTCTGGGCTTGGAACTTTGATACTGTATTACTTAAGAGAGGAGTTTCCAGATCGGATTCTGAGCGCCGCCAGCGTATTTCCATCCCCGAAAGTTTCCGAGATTGTCATTGAGCCTTACAATGCAACTCTGGCTGTTCATCAGTTGATAGAAACTACAGATGAAGTGTTCTCTTTCGACAATGAAGCGCTGTATGATATCTGCTTTAGAACGCTTAGACTTGATACCACAACTTATTCGGATTTGAATCATGTAATATCGACCACTTTAAGCGGTGTCACCACATGTCTCCGTTTTCCTGGACAGGTGAGTTAGTCCTGATTATACAACTTACTTAACCTGAAAATTTCTTTAAGCGCGGTAACAGCAAAATTTTGCCGCAAATTAAGTTTCACAGGTTAAGTTACCCTCAGTGGGTGTAGAAATTATGAGTTTTACCTGTCCAAGATAAATTTTAAAAACCTGAAAAAAACAGTATGAGAAAGCATTCTAAGCAAACAAAGAGATAGTAAGTAAAGAGAAGCTAAAAAAAGGTGTGAATGCCTTCATAACTTTGCTTAGACTTCCTGCACGTAATTTTTTCAAGACAAAAGTCCACGTTTTCCCCGATTTTGCGACACCCGAAAGCAGTTACTGCTCAGTCATGGAGATTACTGTCACTAACATCAAACCCGCGCGAAAGCGATTAGGTAGTTGAGGAAGGATTGATTGGGAAAACTGAGCGTACCTCATTAAAATTTCGAGCTACGCACCTGACAGGACTAAGGGTCTCGCTACCCGTGGCTAGAATGATTGAAAAGAACATCATCATTCAATGAAATGTTTCTTTTTTCAGTTGAACGCAGACTTGCGTAAGCTTGCAGTCAACATGATTCCTTATCCAAGGCTTCACTTCTTTATGCCGGGCTTTGCACCGCTGACCAGTAGGCGGTCACAAACATTTCGTACTCTCACAGTGCAGGAGTTAACTCAGCAAATTTTTGACGCCAGAAATGTCATGATTGCTTGTAACCCCAGAAATGGTAAGTACCTGACTTACGCCGCAATGTTTCGCGGTCAGAAATTATCAATGAAGGAAGTCGAAGATCAAATGGCGAGAGTCCAGGACAAAAACTCCGCACATTTCGTTGAATGGATCCCGCACAATGCCAAAGTTGCAGTTTGTAATGTTCCACCGCATGGAATGAAAATGTCGGCTACATTCATTGCCAACAACACAGCCATACAAGAACTGTTTAAACGGCTTAACCTCCAGTTTAGGGTCATGTACAGGAGAAGAGCTTTTCTTCACTGGTTCACTGAAGAGGGAATGGACGTACAACAGTTTACACAGGTAAGGGTTTATTGGTGCTGATCTACAAGCACGACTTATAGTAGCTTCAGCGCGAAATACCTCAGTCACGAGCCAGTTGGGCGAAAGTCTTGTGGCTGCAAGCGAATATGGAACGTTTGACATTTTAATTCCCTTTTTACTTTTGGTTTTGCGCCTGGGGAGTAAATAAGCCGCAACAACGACGGCGACAGGAACGCGAGAAATTAAAAAAAAAGGAATTTTCAATAATACAAACAACAACTCTGCACGTACTTCACTTTTTAGTACACTTTTTTGCCGTCACTGTAAGACTACCACGTAAAACTCCATTATACGACTTTAATGACCACTTTAAGACCACAATAATTTTTTGATCCCTAGAAAACTAGGGTGTGGTCCCTAAAAATCTAATCCAGAAGAAATTCACCTACGTTTGACATTTTAAGCGAGCTTGAATTATCGCAACAAAGTTTGAAAAAACGCGAAGTTGTCTCATAACTGAAAATTCGTCGCCGTCGCCGTTGCTGAAACTCTTTACGGACCTTACGAAACTACGACGGCGACGGCAAGGAGAACGTCAAAAAAACAATAGGTTTAATGAGCAAAACAACAACCCTGCACGTGCATCACGCTTTTTTGTACATTTCTTTGCTGTCCCTGCACAAGAACGACGTGAAATGACCACATTTTAAGTTTACTTGAGTACGGGAACGGCAAGGCCATAAATTCTACCATCTCTGTCTAAACTCGGGCGCGGCCCCCTAGTCTTCAGCTCCAACCAAAATTCCCTTCTTTTAAGCAACAGGGCAAATTGGGATAATCGCGAAAACGTCTGAAAGGATCCGAAGTCTATTTTTCAGCGACGTTTTCATGGACGTCCCCGTTGTCGGATCGTAAGGTCCCTTTTAACAAAAGCATGACGCTAAGCTCGAGCAGTAACACATCTGCCTTTCCTTGTTTAAATTTGGCGCCAAAATAAGCAGCACTACGGCGACCGCGTCCTGTGTGTGCACCTTCGCGATTGAGAAGACTAGCAATCATTTCCAAGTGCGGAATCCGTGGATTAAGTCACGGTTGGTTTCAGTTTTCACCGAAATTTATAATTCTTGCCAAACGTTTCTGTTTGAGCAAGGCAGAAGAGTTTCACTTTTCTAGATTTCTCCCATTGCCCCCACTATGGACCTTACGCTTGCTACGCGCTCTTGAGTGAAACGCAGTATTACACTCTAATTTCATTATATATTGTTTTCTTACCGAATGGTTGGTTGAAACGTTAACGATTGTAAGGAGGACTGTTATGATATGAAGATGCCGTCAGGTTAAAAACAAAACCTGATCTTTAGCATCTGACTAGATTAATGCTATTTTTCATTATAGGCTGAGTCAGACATGTTGGATCTGATTTCAACTTATCAACAGTGTCAGGATCTTCAAGTGGATAATTATAGTGTTAGTGATATAGAAATAAAGGACCTTGAGGAGTTCGAGGACTCACTGGAGACCTGGGACTGTGTGGATAATCACGTGGAAGGACATGTAAATGGCCACACTCTATCCTCAGAAAGCTGATGTGCATTTTCACAAACTCAAAAGTACTATATAGTTTTGCTCGTTTCATTCAACTGGACTGGAACAGTGTAAAACTGGATTTTCCAAACTGGAATTTAAGTTGCCGCCTTAGTTGACTATGTTAGAGAGGCAGCAACCCGGATTGGACTTGTGTTCACACATAAGAATTGTGATTTCAGCCCAGTTTCTGTGACAGAACGAAGCTACGCCACGCCGATCTCTTACGTGAAGAGTCACATATCAGATAGATGTTCACTGATACTATACCGCCGGACAGCTTCTCGTGTCGGCGCGAAAAGCTTTCTGGTATAGGGTGAACGTATCCTGAGAAACATCAGCCTCGTTCCCACTCGTCCTCGGTGATTTCAGAGGTGAGGTCACCTGTCAAAGGAAAATCTCATTCGTAATCAGTTGTTTCATCGTTTTACGATTGGCTTAGTATTTAGTCTTATCCTTTAAATTTTACACACTTGAAACGCGCTTTATTAGCCCCCGCGTTATTTGTTTTGGGACAAAACTCCATACTAGGCTCCCGCTCACTGGAGCCCATCAAATGATGGGCTCCTGCCCCGCTTTGATAAACCAATTTTTGTTAAGACTGGCCGAATGCGCTTTTAGGTTGGTCTGGCTTTATATACTTCCCACTGATATCTCTGTTGCTGTTTGTTGTCGTCGACCACGGAAAATAGGGAGCTTAAGCAACCTTGGCGACGACGGCAGCTTACCCTGGGGGGTACCAGAGAGTTTTGTCTCGCGTGCAAACAGACACCTTGGTGAATTTTTAAATCTTCATGTATACTGCAAACGTCGGTGTTAAAAATGTCTCAAAATAGAAAATAAGGAGATAAAAACAGCTCAAAACTATTCTTCTGGATTAAAAAATTGCGTGAAACTACTAAATTACGGGTGAAATAACGAACCGTAAACGAGAAGAAAAGGGGAAACTTGGTCACGTGGTTTAATTTGACGTAAACGTTATGTTTAACGCAAGAGGACGGCAAAACGCTTGTGTGTGACAGCAAACGTGACAGGGCTATTACTTGCGAGTTTTGTCGTGATCTTCAGTTGACATTAATGTCTTCTGGTCTTTACAAAAAGATTCTTTTAAAGGAAAATGAAGTTTGGCGAAAAGTTATTTCAAACAAAATTATTGTCAAGCTTGGCACACAAGGTTTGCCGTCTCCGTTCCTCTTCCGTCCTGTTGCGTAAGTACGCTGTTTTTGGCCAAAGGCACGGGCGAATTTTCCTAGAATTTATACAGTTTTCAAGGACTCTATCCAAGTTCTAAAAGAGAAAGGAGAAATAGTCGTCGTGTGTTCAAGTACTCCATAAAACGTTTTAGGACATTTCACGTCGTAGTTTAAAAAGTGCACTTCAAANAAGACTGGCCGAATGCGCTTTTAGGTTGGTCTGGCTTTATATACTTCCCACTGATATCTCTGTTGCTGTTTGTTGTCGTCGACCACGGAAAATAGGGAGCTTAAGCAACCTTGGCGACGACGGCAGCTTACCCTGGGGGGTACCAGAGAGTTTTGTCTCGCGTGCAAACAGACACCTTGGTGAATTTTTAAATCTTCATGTATACTGCAAACGTCGGTGTTAAAAATGTCTCAAAATAGAAAATAAGGAGATAAAAACAGCTCAAAACTATTCTTCTGGATTAAAAAATTGCGTGAAACTACTAAATTACGGGTGAAATAACGAACCGTAAACGAGAAGAAAAGGGGAAACTTGGTCACGTGGTTTAATTTGACGTAAACGTTATGTTTAACGCAAGAGGACGGCAAAACGCTTGTGTGTGACAGCAAACGTGACAGGGCTATTACTTGCGAGTTTTGTCGTGATCTTCAGTTGACATTAATGTCTTCTGGTCTTTACAAAAAGATTCTTTTAAAGGAAAATGAAGTTTGGCGAAAAGTTATTTCAAACAAAATTATTGTCAAGCTTGGCACACAAGGTTTGCCGTCTCCGTTCCTCTTCCGTCCTGTTGCGTAAGTACGCTGTTTTTGGCCAAAGGCACGGGCGAATTTTCCTAGAATTTATACAGTTTTCAAGGACTCTATCCAAGTTCTAAAAGAGAAAGGAGAAATAGTCGTCGTGTGTTCAAGTACTCCATAAAACGTTTTAGGACATTTCACGTCGTAGTTTAAAAAGTGCACTTCAAAGAGCATGATGCAGATGCAGACTGCTTTTGTTTTGTTCATGTGACATATTGTTTCTTTTTCTTACGTTTTTTTGTCGTTGTTGTCATGGTTCTCTGAAGGCGATGTTACTCGGTCGGGAACAATTCACAACGACGATTCTCAGCGGAACAGAGCGTTCTAAAGGTACGGGAAAACGGGCAACAAAAAACGTGCAACTTGTTTTACAACATTTCTGCAAAACGAGTTGAATAGCGATGTTGCGCGTTTTACCACCCGTGTTTAAACCTGCTAACAACCTGATTTGTTGCAAGACAGGTTTGATGTGGGTGGTAAAACGCGCAACATCGCTATTCAACTCGTTTTGCATCAATGTTGCAAAACAATGTTTTTTGTTGCCCGTTTTTACGTACCTTAACATCGTTGCGATGCTGTTTCTAATTTTGACAACATTGTTCCAACATTATTAGTCTTAATCGTCATTAGTGTAATATTACCCTAGGCCCCCTAACAAAAAAGGAGCTAGCATTAGTGAACTCGTTTAAAATAATATACTAGTTCACCACAGCTGTCTTGTTAAAGAGCCATCAGCAGCGCGAATAAAAATTACAACACAAGGTTTAAAAAGATTATACTTTATTGCGTACATGAAGTTTCATTGAAGTAAACGTGCGCAAAGATTTGAAACGTTTCGCAGTTTTCCTCAGTTTACCTCAAAAAACAGTCATATGTAAACTGTACAAAGAAAAGTTCAACTTGACCATAAAGTAAATGGTATTTACATCAAAAAGCGTATAAAGTATTTATAAAGCCATTCACCGCTCTTGCCAAGTGGTTCATGATTACGTTGCGAAAAAAATGAGAGGTTATTTTTTTATTACAGTGTTGAATTTTTAATCTAATTTAGATTACAAACTTAACACTATCAACGAAAAAAAAAAGAAACCAGGCAATCAAGCAAAGTACCTAGTATTGCCCCCAAGGGCCGGAAAATATGCAGACAAAACAGGGGAAGAAAGTCTTTGGTTTAGATATTTTGAAAAAGGGGTTGGAGCATGTTTTTAGCCAATCACAGTACTCGGTAAAGCAAGATCGTAATATGAGTAAAATGAATATGATACTGGCAAACAGCTGATTCTCTTTGAATATCCACATATTAAGGCAAGAAAAACTGTACCCATATTACGCTTAAGCTGTAGATATCAGACCGTTCTCCGTTATATTGGATTCCTTAATGGCCATATTATAAATTGTCAGTCACTGATGATTCCATCGCTCGACTGTCTGTTTTATGTCTCACCCTCCTCTTCTTCTTCTTCGTCAAACTCTCCTTCCTCCTCAGCTGTCGCATCCTGGTATTGTTGATATTCAGACACCAGATCGTTCATGTTGGATTCAGCCTGTTAAAAAGTATGATGAAAGCTAGGTCAGGAAAATTACAGCCCAGCAGACCTAGTATATGTAACTATGCTCAATTTACCCAGTTTTATATCTGCTTTATATCTATCAAAGTCCAAATACAGTAAAAAGTTATACCTTGTCTTGGGAAAAGCAATAAGCAGCATCTTTAGGATAAATTGCTGTAACATTATTTTATATTCCCAGACGCAAAATGTTTTCATCAAACTCATGGTAAACTTTATACAAGCTTAGTTAAGCTTACAAGTCCCAGTCATTGACCATTCCTCCCCTGTTCTTAAGACGTTGAAGTTGATCAAGTATCGGGCAAGTATCGCAACTCCTCAGTGGTTGATTTAAAAGCGAAGACTATCATTCTTACCTCAGTGAATTCCATTTCATCCATGCCTTCACCAGTGTACCAATGCAAGAAAGCCTTACGCCTGAACATAGCAGTGAACTGCTCACTGATGCGCTTGAACAATTCTTGGATGGCAGTGCTGTTGCCAACGAAGGTGGAAGACATCTTCAGACCACGGGGTGGGATGTCACATACAGCTGTCTTCACGTTGTTGGGGATCCATTCTACAAAGTAGGAGCTGTTCTTATTTTGAACATTCAGCATCTGTTCATCTACTTCCTTCATGGACATACGGCCACGGAACATGGCTGCAACAGTCAGATAACGACCATGCCTTGGATCACATGCAGCCATCATGTTCTTGGCATCAAACATCTGCTGGGTTAGTTCTGGCACTGTTAGTGCACGATACTGCTGGGATCCTCTGCTGGTGAGGGGGGCAAATCCAGGCATGAAGAAGTGAAGACGAGGGAAAGGAACCATGTTTACGGCTAGTTTTCTGAGGTCAGCGTTAAGCTGTTAAAAGGAGAAAAGGCCGATTAGCACGCTTGGCACGCCTACAATAAATTGACAACTTGGGAAGCTGTTAATTTGAAACTGGAATATGCTCCGATTGCTTTGTTAAACATAAAGTGAAATGTGAATAAGTTAAGTTTTAATCTGAATGAGTTCTTGTAAAATACTGCAATTTCTTTCTTAGCGTTTTAGAAAGATATTTCCTTAGTTTGTTTTTCATCTTTAATTTTTTTATTACATTATACAGAAAAATTTCAAAAATGTATGACGACATTTTTCACAAAGAATGCTTCCATAGTAACCTAGGACGCGAAAGTGTTTAAGCGACTGAAAATTATGTCATAAACTGGAGGGAATTAGCGGCTAATTTGCGGCTCATGAACAAAAAATATTGTGTTCATACAGTCGTGAATGTTTAATAGTAAATTTCTAGAAGTCAAGTTCAATGCAAGAGATACTGACTGACCTGTCCAGGGAAACGAAGACAAGTTGTAACACCGCTCATTGTAGCTGACACGAGATGGTTCAAGTCGCCATAAGTTGGTGTGGTGAGCTTCAGGGTTCTGAAGCAGATATCGTACAGAGCTTCATTGTCAATGCAGTATGTTTCATCAGTGTTTTCGACCAACTGATGGACCGACAGTGTAGCGTTGTAAGGCTCTACAACGGTGTCCGATACTTTTGGCGATGGAACAATACTGAAAGTGTTCATCATTCTGTCAGGGTACTCCTCTCTGATTTTTGAAATAAGAAGCGTTCCCATACCAGAGCCGGTTCCACCGCCCAATGAATGTGTAAGCTGAAAGCCTTGAAGGCAATCGCAGCTTTCAGCTTCTTTTCGAACCACATCTAGAACAGAGTCGATCAGCTCGGCTCCTTCAGTGTAATGTCCCTTTGCCCAATTATTTCCTGCTCCAGATTGACCTAAGTTAGAAACATAAGACGATTGGTGGAAAGGAAAAAACACTCTTTTTCTGTATTCTCTTAAGCGGTGCTTGTCCTAAACTGACCCGGAAACATGGTTGCCTGGGAGATTAGATTAGACGCATACTTACTTGATGGCCTAATTACACCGAATAATTTCCCAGACTCAATAGTTGTTGTTAAGGTTTCGACTGCATTCATTAAATTAAACATAATTTACAAGAAATCAAGTACACCTTCTTTATGCCTCGTACTTTTTAAAGTTTCCAAGGAAGAAGTTTAAATTCTATTTACTGTTAAGGCTAACCTCCTTTTCTATTGTCCAACGTTCAAAACAAATGGTGAATGATCTTACCAAAAACAAAGTTATCTGGTCTAAAAATCTGCCCAAACGGTCCTGATCGAACTGAATCCATTGTTCCTGGTTCTAAATCTACCAAAACAGCCCTAGGAACATATTTTCCACCTAAGAAAAAAACATGAAATAGTTATCAATTTAGTAACGGTTATTATGGCGGGCAATCAGTCGGACGAATAACAAAACAGAACAAAATTCCGCTTTACTTTCATACCTGTAGCTTCATTGTAATAAACGTTTATTCTTTCCAACTGAAGGTCGGAATCTCCGTGATATGCGCCAGTTGGATCGATGCCATGTTCGTCGGAGATAACTTCCCAGAACTGCAATAGAAAATAACGTCTTTTAAAAACCACATAAATTGAACGTCTGGATGGGTTTCAAAAAAAAAATTAACGAAGCAAAGGATATAACTTACTTTAGCACCAATCTGGTTTCCACACTGACCAGCCTGCATATGAACAATTTCACGCATTTTTGTTTTCTACGAGTATACCTCTTTAAGGATTAAAACCAGAGATGTATTCGCTATGGCTGATGGATTCGAACTGAAAAGACCTGGAGTCGGTTACGATTCATAAACTCTACGTTACCAAGTAAACAATGGGCGTCGCTACTTAGGCAGTGTTTAGTTGTGTTTATTCCCATGTGTGCTGTTAGACATGAATTGTAAAGTTCCGCATACTTATCAACTTCTCACATTTGTCTTGGTAAGCGCTTTACAAACTAACCACCCTTTTAATTAAGCAGAGTAATCAGGTTAGATAGACGTGCTCTGCCACAATGACGCGAAAACTCCGTTTCATCGTTCAGAAGGTTTCTTCTGGCGCATCAGGTATGTTTCTAACAGTAAAATGAAGATCCAAAACGCAGAAAGATTCAATCACTTTCTTGCGTCCTCGCAAAATATTTCTAAGTAAATGTCACAACAGCCAATCAAATATCACTTGATGGGACGGACACAAAAGAGCCCATGATGTTAAATTCACATACAGAGTAAAAGGATTAGCAATCACTTTGTATTAAAAAAGACTTGTAAATGTACAGCTTTGATCTCAATAGATTGTGCAAACTAATTAACAGCTCGTGTGTAAACTAGTGGGGTATATAAATTAGTGCTCTCCAAAAAAAGAACGTCGAGAATTTTTGTGGTTGTAACTTAAAAATAGGTATTATCATAGTTATGACCATCCATGAGAAAGATATCGAATTGTTTATTAGTGTCGGTGTAGTTTGCCTTTAATGGTAACCTTTACAACAGTTGAACAAAGAGTTTTCCTGTAATTAGCACCGACCTAATTTTTATTTGTTCACCAATCGTCCGATTCGGGAATATAACATTGACTGTCTGACAATCACGATAAAAGCTTTGTACCAGTCCACTCCAGTCCCTTCCACATTCCCGGTCATTCTTGGTGGTAAAAGGGGACTCGAGCCTGAGTGACTGTCAATTTTTTTTCCAACAACGTACCCAGAACCCTATGTAACCCTAGCTACTTTTTTTCTGCCCTCGTTTCTCAGACGTCATTTCGCGGAGAAACAAGTGGTGGCGTCGTGAAATGTGGCCTGTTTTCTCAGGCTAGCGCATGAGGCCTCCACGCTGTCTGACCAAGACTTTCTGTCTTCTGCAGAAATTCTACACTGATGATGTATCACTACCAGGCACAGGAAGAAAGAGAAGGAGAGCTAGCTAAAAAATTCAGCTGTCATTATGAGAAACCCACAGACATTTCAATGCCACTTTGCAGCTATAAAGCTTTAATTTATCGGAACTATACCATACTATGGGGCCTATTGGCCTTCCGGCTGGCTTTGTCCCGAGAGCACTATTGCAGCCCCAGCCGCTGAGCAACATCCCAGTTAGTGTTGTCTCATTATCAACGCTTCTGGTTTCTGTAACAGTTAGTGTTTTTTCTTACCTCAGTGAATTCCATTTCATCCATGCCTTCACCAGTGTACCAATGCAAGAAAGCCTTACGCCTGAACATAGCAGTGAACTGCTCACTGATGCGCTTGAACAATTCTTGGATGGCAGTGCTGTTGCCAACGAAGGTGGAAGACATCTTCAGACCACGGGGTGGGATGTCACATACAGCTGTCTTCACGTTGTTGGGGATCCATTCTACAAAGTAGGAGCTGTTCTTATTTTGAACATTCAGCATCTGTTCATCTACTTCCTTCATGGACATACGGCCACGGAACATGGCTGCAACAGTCAGATAACGACCATGCCTTGGATCACATGCAGCCATCATGTTCTTGGCATCAAACATCTGCTGGGTTAGTTCTGGCACTGTTAGTGCACGATACTGCTGGGATCCTCTGCTGGTGAGGGGGGCAAATCCAGGCATGAAGAAGTGAAGACGAGGGAAAGGAACCATGTTTACGGCTAGTTTTCTGAGGTCAGCGTTAAGCTGTTAAAAGGAGAAAAGGCCGATTAGCACGCTTGGCACGCCTACAATAAATTGACAACTTGGGAAGCTGTTAATTTGAAACTGGAATATGCTCCGATTGCTTTGTTAAACATAAAGTGAAATGTGAATAAGTTAAGTTTTAATCTGAATGAGTTCTTGTAAAATACTGCAATTTCTTTCTTAGCGTTTTAGAAAGATATTTCCTTAGTTTGTTTTTCATCTTTAATTTTTTTATTACATTATACAGAAAAATTTCAAAAATGTATGACGACATTTTTCACAAAGAATGCTTCCATAGTAACCTAGGACGCGAAAGTGTTTAAGCGACTGAAAATTATGTCATAAACTGGAGGGAATTAGCGGCTAATTTGCGGCTCATGAACAAAAAATATTGTGTTCATACAGTCGTGAATGTTTAATAGTAAATTTCTAGAAGTCAAGTTCAATGCAAGAGATACTCACTGACCTGTCCAGGGAAACGAAGACAAGTTGTAACACCGCTCATTGTGGCTGACACGAGATGGTTCAAGTCGCCATAAGTTGGTGTGGTGAGCTTCAGGGTTCTGAAGCAGATATCGTACAGAGCTTCATTGTCAATGCAGTATGTTTCATCAGTGTTTTCGACCAACTGATGGACCGACAGTGTAGCGTTGTAAGGCTCTACAACGGTGTCCGATACTTTTGGCGATGGAACAATACTGAAAGTGTTCATCATTCTGTCAGGGTACTCCTCTCTGATTTTTGAAATAAGAAGCGTTCCCATACCAGAGCCGGTTCCACCGCCCAATGAATGTGTAAGCTGAAAGCCTTGAAGGCAATCGCAGCTTTCAGCTTCTTTTCGAACCACATCTAGAACAGAGTCGATCAGCTCGGCTCCTTCAGTGTAATGTCCCTTTGCCCAATTATTTCCTGCTCCAGATTGACCTGAGTTAGAAACATAAGACGATTGGTGGAAAGGAAAAAAACACTCTTTTTCTGTATTCTCTTAAGCGGTGCTTGTCCTAAACTGACCCGGAAACATGGTTGCCTGGGAGATTAGATTAGACGCATACTTACTTGATGGCCTAATTACACCGAATAATTTTCCAGACTCAATAGTTGTTGTTCAGAGGTTTCGACTGCATTCATTAAATTAAACATAATTTACAAGAAATCAAGTACACCTTCTTTATGCCTCGCACTTTTTAAAGTTTCCAAGGAAGAAGTTTAAATTCTATCTACTCTTAAGGCTAACCTCCTTTTCTATTGTCCTACGTTCAAAACAAATGGTGAATGATCTTACCAAAAACAAAGTTATCTGGTCTAAAAATCTGCCCAAACGGTCCTGATCGAACTGAATCCATTGTTCCTGGTTCTAAATCTACCAAAACAGCCCTAGGAACATATTTTCCACCTAAGAAAAAAACATGAAATAGTTATCAATTTGGTAACGGTTATTATGGCGGGCAATCAGTCGGACGAATAACAAAACAGAACAAAATTCCGCTTTACTTTCATACCTGTAGCTTCATTGTAATAAACGTTTATTCTTTCCAACTGAAGGTCGGAATCTCCGTGATATGCGCCAGTTGGATCGATGCCATGTTCGTCGGAGATAACTTCCCAGAACTGCAATAGAAAATAACGTCTTTTAAAAACCACATAAATTGAACGTCTGGATGGGTTTCGAAAAAAAAATTAACGAAGCAAAGGATATAACTTACTTTAGCACCAATCTGGTTTCCACACTGACCAGCCTGCATATGAACAATTTCACGCATTTTTGTTTTCTACGAGTATACCTCTTTAAGGATTAAAACCAGAGATGTATTCGCTATGGCTGATGGATTCGAACTGAAAAGACCTGGAGTCGGTTACGATTCATAAACTCTACGTTACCAAGTAAACAATGGGCGTCGCTACTTAGGCAGTGTTTAGTTGTGTTTATTCCCATGTGTGCTGTTAGACATGAATTGTAAAGTTCCGCATACTTATCAACTTCTCACATTTGTCTTGGTAAGCGCTTTACAAACTAACCACCCTTTTAATTAAGCAGAGTAATCAGGTTAGATAGACGTGCTCTGCCACAATGACGCGAAAACTCCGTTTCATCGTTCAGAAGGTTTCTTCTGGCGCATCAGGTATGTTTCTAACAGTAAAATGAAGATCCAAAACGCAGAAAGATTCAATCACTTTCTTGCGTCCTCGCAAAATATTTCTAAGTAAATGTCACAACAGCCAATCAAATATCACTTGATGGGACGGACACAAAAGAGCCCATGATGTTAAATTCACATACAGAGTAAAAGGATTAGCAATCACTTTGTATTAAAAAAGACTTGTAAATGTACAGCTTTGATCTCAATAGATTGTGCAAACTAATTAACAGCTCGTGTGTAAACTAGTGGGGTATATAAATTAGTGCTCTCCAAAAAAAGAACGTCGAGAATTTTTGTGGTTGTAACTTAAAAATAGGTATTATCATAGTTATGACCATCCATGAGAAAGATATCGAATTGTTTATTAGTGTCGGTGTAGTTTGCCTTTAATGGTAACCTTTACAACAGTTGAACAAAGAGTTTTCCTGTAATTAGCACCGACCTAATTTTTATTTGTTCACCAATCGTCCGATTCGGGAATATAACATTGACTGTCTGACAATCACGATAAAAGCTTTGTACCAGTCCACTCCAGTCCCTTCCACATTCCCGGTCATTCTTGGTGGTAAAAGGGGACTCGAGCCTGAGTGACTGTCAATTTTTTTTCCAACAACGTACCCAGAACCCTATGTAACCCTAGCTACTTTTTTTCTGCCCTCGTTTCTCAGACGTCATTTCGCGGAGAAACAAGTGGTGGCGTCGTGAAATGTGGCCTGTTTTCTCAGGCTAGCGCATGAGGCCTCCACGCTGTCTGACCAAGACTTTCTGTCTTCTGCAGAAATTCTACACTGATGATGTATCACTACCAGGCACAGGAAGAAAGAGAAGGAGAGCTAGCTAAAAAATTCAGCTGTCATTATGAGAAACCCACAGACATTTCAATGCCACTTTGCAGCTATAAAGCTTTAATTTATCGGAACTAT